AATTGCTCTTTCTGTTACACTTGTGATGGGAAGCAGATTTCCTTGAATCTAAGCTGATTAATGAAGAAACACCGAAAGGCACCAAACTCCAATTTCAATCAGCTGGCCTCCTTATTAAATGTAAAGATCTAATTTTATACTTTGCTGTTTTCAGATTGATCACCCACTGGCTGAAAATATTGAGCGCGAAGCTTTTCATCTGTGTTCCCGCCTCATTAGCGCTCCGTATCGCCGGGCCGTGCGAGCCCTCGTCTTCTCATTAAAGCACAAACCCGAGACCCGAGCAGGAGTCAAGGATGGCACACTCACTGTCCCTGCCTTTGTACAGAGCCATAAAAAGTGAGGTGCTGTGCTTGATCCCGAGGGAGAACTTCCTGTGCCTGCATCTCCGTGGGACTGGGAGCCCTTCCCGCGGTGAGGGGAGTGCAGGAGGGCTGACTGGTGACTCCACAAATGGGGCTGCTGGAGGGAAGGACTAATGATGGAATGGGTGCTGGAAATCTGACTTGCTGGAAATCCATGTGGGCTTGTTGTAAGGAAAGTTTCTTCTACTCTTCTGTGTCTTTTCCATCCTTGCTGATTCACCTTTTTCTGTCTTCTGCCCGTTTGTTGTAGCTCAGTTTAGCTCAATCCCTGAGGTGGATCTTCAGGTGTAATCAGCTGAATAACCCTTTTAAAGGAGCAGCTCTGTGCTCTGCTGGCTGGAAATACTGGTAATTATGGGTAATTGGTCCATGGGAGGGGATTCCTGGGGGATAAGTGCCAACTCTAGTTAGCCCTAAATCAGCCATGTCTGCTGCATCTGGGCCCGGCCTGTGGCAAGAGCTGTTTTGCCAAGGTGATTTCCCTTTGCTGCATTCCAGAACTGGATGCAAAATGGATTTCAGTAACTTCCATCTTCTCAGTCATCCTGTGATTTGGGGGATTTTCTAAAGCCCCAGGGTAAAGGTGCTGTTTAATGCCTCTGCTGTTCAAGGAGCCCCCTGTTCAGCCTTCCAAACCTCACTCATGATGTAAACATGGTGCTCGTTTTTACTGTAATGTGAAAAAAAAAACCTTGTAATGAATTATCTAAATAAAACTAAAATACTCCCTTTAAAGGCTTTTTTTCTCTAAAAGGAGCAGGGTTCAGAATGATTGCGTGAACAAATCTAAGCAACAAACTATTGTTTGAATTCTTTCTAGTTACCGAAAATTCAAATTCTTGCCTCTATATTTGCTCTGATTTCTTTTGTACCACAAGTTGTCTTGTTCTCTATAAGCTGTTATTAAGGCTATTCCAGGCATGGTGTTCATATCTTCACCTAAAAAAGGACTGACTGTCATTACTTGGACCTGCTAGATACTTTTTCATCTGTAGACCCTTAGCAGAATCACCCAAAACTTACTTGAGATGTTGAACTCCATAAATTTAATTAGGTAATTGCAGGTTCTCTTAAGAATATTTTAAACACTGTTTTGTCGGCTTGGGCCAGTGCAAAACCAGTTTTGCCTGTGCACATTGGAGGTGTCCTCAAACAGCTGAACACATAGGTTTTATTTGTAGGAAGTTAAAGTCAGGTGTGTTGGAGGCAGAAGCTGGCAGATCCATGTGTGGTGAGGGTGTGGGTAATATTCAATAACATGTAACACTTGTTGACCAGGATGTAGCAAAACATGGGAAAACCCTCAATTTCTTACAAGCAATCAGCTCCAATTTCCATTTAAATAGCTTCAAACTGCACAGCTTTAATTGAATTTGTGTATCCTGGACCATCAGGAGGGGTTCAGGATCAATGAATGACATAGCTTTTGCATCAGAGCTGCAACACCAAGACCTGCAGTTATTTATTTTCAGCTTCCTGTTCCTGGTGCCAGGCTGTGTTTTCTCTATTTGGGTAACGTGAGAAGCAAAATTCCTGAAAATTAGGATCTTCTGGTCTAATGAGAGCCCGGCCAAAGAAGTTTCCCACACAGGTCAGATACAGTCTGGCTGTGCCAAATATTTTTAATTTAGAAAGTAATTTCAGGGATGCAGAGTTGCTGCACATGACCAGAAAACTCCTATAAATTTCCTCTATTTAATGGTTGATGTTTTTGTCCAGCTTGTTTCAAAGGAACCCAAGTGTAAAGCTCTGGGTCCAGTTCTTTTATCTTGATGTTAAAGCTGGTAGTAACATTTGGGCTGAGGATTCAGCTTTGCAGAAAACTGACTGGAGGACTGGAAAAGAGTCTGGAGAGTTGGGCTCAAGACCCACAGCAAGAAGAATTCAGGGAAGCAAGGAATGTTTTAAGGACAAAAACAGAAAGGAAGGTTGGGAAAGAAAACAAAAACAGAGATGGGAAAGCAACAGGCCAAAAAGGGCTTCATTTTCTCAAAGGGTGATGCTGAATGTGACAACAGGATACTTGATACCTGACACTAATGAAGTTTTTAATTAGTCTATAAAAACCAGATTCCCTCCATGGAGCAGCCTTACCTGCACACTGTGTGTGTTTATGCCTTGGGTTAGCTGCTGAATCAGTTTGCTGCTCCTTGGCTCTTCCTTCCCTCCTGTGGCTGATGCAGGCCGGTCTTCATGCTGGGGAAACCCTTCCAGATTAAAAGGGAGGATGAAAGTGGCTACTTTGTGCTTTCTTTCTCTAGCATGGAGACTGAAATTCCTTTTAAGAGTGAAATGTTAAATGAGGGAAGCACCCAATCTAGAGAAAGGTTCTTATTTTCCCCCCTTTTCTTCCAGATTAAGCCTATCCCACAGATTGTTTTCAGCAAAGGAGTACATACATAAAGCTGGCAGACCTCTAGAGACCTGCTGCACCCATCAAAGGGAGGAGGGAAGCACCTTCTGGAGGTGTCACCTCCTGATCCCCCTCCCCACGCGTGGGGAACACAGGGTGGGCTCAGGGCAGCACCAGGAGGAATGAAAAAGGGAATTCACTCCTGCCAGAGCTGACTTCTGACCCTGGCTTTGAAGAGCAAATTTGGGAAGGCAGTAGGTGACAGCTTGCTCTGTTCCCCATCAGCAGGCACAGCTCAGGAGAGCTTTGTCCTGCTGCAAATTACTTGGGTGAAAGAAGATGGGAGTAGACAAGACCCTCCCTGTTCTTTGGAAAAGAGAGAGCTCAGCAGCTCACCAGATTTCATCTTTCAAGAGGCTCTTCAAAGGTTTCTTCACAAAGAACCCAAACTTTTAGATCTCATTTGCTTCCCTGGCAGTCCTGTAATATGACGGGTTGGCTAAACTGGCCCTGGATTAAAAGACATTAAGACAAGAAAATGCCACAGAAATCCTTGGAGCCCAAAGGATGCTCCAGGAACTTCCCTCCCAGGGTTTGTTATGGAGCAGAAAGGCTGGAGCAGTGGAGGATAGAAGAAAAAAAGATAAGGTAGAGGGAGGGAAACACATGAAGGATTTCCCCAGCCCAGTTGACCACAAAACCAGCAAAACCTTGCTCCTCCATGCAGGGCACTGCAACATTCTGATGGTAAACTGGCACCTCACAGGAGGGGAAACTGAGACACAAAGGAGCTCTGACATGTCACAGTAAGTAAGAAAAAAAAAAAAAAAAAGAGAAACCCATGCCAGGGTTACACTGCAATTAATGATGCTCCAGTTCTTGTGCTGGCAGTCCCCTGAACAACATCCATGGTCTCTCTCAATTAAACTAGATTATGGAATGATCCTTGCTAATTATATATTATTATCTAGCAAGCAGTTATCTTGCTATAAAGGGTTCTCCTTTAATGGACAAACACTGTTCCTCTAGCACAGCCAGCCCCAATGGCAAGAAAAAAACAAAAGCCCAAATCATTTCTGCTGTGGCCAATATTTTGCCTGCGCTGGAATGTTCACATTGCAAACACTACATCCTGTCCTAGAGAGAGGGAAGAGGAGGGGGAGGAGAGCTGCAACATGCAGAACCAGCCAGAGGGAGAAGGCAGGATCAAATCAGAACACCCTAAGCTGCCACAAAGATACAACTGTAAAAAAAAAAATATCAAAATCCAGCTGTGAACTCTCCCACCCATCATGGAGCACTCAGCCTCCACACACCAAAATCCCCACGAGCAGGGCCCTCGCTGTCCCTGGGGCTGTGATGATCAGGAAACTGGGCTTAAAATAAGCTTGGAAAACAACTCCTGCTAAATGCCGTCATTGCATTTTTAATTGTCCATATGCTTGATCCATTATGTTTTCCCAGATGGCTGGGCTGCCTGACTACTGCCTCCTCATCTGTGCCACTATGGCCAGGGTCTCCAGCAGGTACCTGGATCCCCAAGGCAGGGACACCCTCTGTGTCACTGTGGCCAGGGTCTCCAGCAGGTACCTGTGAGCTCCATCCTTCCCAGCACACAAAACCACACCTGCTGACCCATCCATGCCAAGCTCCTGGGGAGCCATGGCTGGCTCGATGGCAAAAGGGGCTGGTGGCCTCCTGGCCTTACACACCAACCTGCAAGAAAAGCACCCTGAGGAGCAGCAAACCTGACCCTGCTCCAGCCCATGAACTGCCCCTGTGCTTGCCCAAGGGCCAGTCCCTGTTAAATTACCCAAAAATGTTTGAGCATAGGATGCACACCACCAGCATCCCCAGCGTGCTCAGCTCCAGCACTGGCTCCCTGGCCATCACAAGCATCCCATTCCCAGACTGGGATTCGAATATAAAAACTGAAAGGACACAAATAACCCTCTGAGCAGAGCAGTGGGGGGAGGTCCACCCACGGAGGACCATGAGTGTCCCCACAGAAAACTTCCAGTGAACATTACATAGAATAAATTACCTGGGAAGGGGTGGATCACAACACCCTGTGCTTGCTGGGCCCCCCAGTGGGATGCTCAGTCCTGCCCAGTGCCCAGGGTCTCTGGGCAGAGGGAGCAGTGCCCATTTTGGGGCACTTCCACCATTATTCTCTTGTCCAGTGCAGCAGCACAAAAGCACATCCCCCAGCAGCACACCCCCACAGTGTGACACATCAGGAAAACCTTCCTGGTAAATAGAGAAAACACAGAGAGCATGGCTGAGATTTTTCGGATATTTTAGCACAGCTTCTCTCCAGCAGGAGCGATCTCCCCAGGGAAGGAGAGGAATGAACCAACTGATCCCCTGGGGGTTCTTGCAGTCCTGTTTTCTATGATCTACAATTTTCCAACAGTTCTTCACTGGATTTGCAGGCAGACATTTGCAGAGGGATAACAGAGGCTCTCCCTCCTGCACAACAGCCAAGCCTTTGCTTCAGAAAGACACGACTCCATGTCTATAAGCAAAGGCAGGAAATGGGGAGGTTGCATCCAGCCCGGCTCAATCCATCCATCGTGCTCTAAATAAATAATCAGATGGGCAATGGGAGCGCTTCCCGTGCCTGCTGCTCTCCTGCTTGCTCAGGAAGCACTGGGCAAATGCTAAGGAGGGCAACTGAGGCCTGATGTGTGAGGGAAGGAGTGCTGGTGATGGATTCTTGATAGCTGTTTGCCACTCATGTGAGCAGCTTTTCCATGAAAAGGGTTTTTTCAGGAAATTACCTGGGCAGTCCTCCTCCCCTGCTGGGCTCCATCCCCAGCCAGGGCAGCACGTCAGGGAAGACCTGGTTTAACAGGGGATGCCAGTGAGCAAATTCCTGCAGGACAAGGAAAGACCAGATGCCTAAATCTAGTGGAGAGACTGAGAAATGGTGGAGGAGGATTGGAGCCTGAGGAGGGCTGGTGTTTGGTGAGCACCAGAGGCTTTCCTTGCTCCAAGTGAGATGACTGGCCCGAGTGGCTCACTGCTGGTGGCAGATGCAGCTGTGAATGCCATCAGAAACAAGGGGGTAAAGGGCTTTTGGAGCCATTCAAGTTGCACTAATCACCCTGTCCATGACCCCTGGATAACACCCTGCAGACCTGGGGCAGCTAGGGATCCTCTTGACTCAGGAGCAAAGCTGCTCCCACAGCAGCAGTCCTGTATCCACAGGGATGTGTGCAGGGGAGCACTTCACCCAGAGATGCTTGGGTGGCTGTGAAATGGAGCCAAAGCTGGAAACCCTCCCTGGGGTGACGAGGTCCAACTCCTTACTTGAGTGCAACACCAAGAGCTATCCAGAAAAGCCTTTTCCCCTGCAAATCACAGGGTTCTGGAGGCTCCAGCTGGGCAAGGAGTGCCTGTCCTGCAGACAAGGGCTGGATGCTGCTGGGTGCTGTGGGCTCCCTGCCAGGCACAAGCAGCCGCAGTGCTCACCTGTTTCAGCAAAATCTGGGCCACCAAGAAGGTTAATTATATCTTTAAGTTTCTTTCAGTTGTCAAATCTTGTAACTATGGTCTCAAGCTGACAGTTCTATACCCAGCAATTAACCGGCAGTGAGGCTTTGCAAGCAGCGGGGGAGGCTGGCCTTGTTTACCATCTCTGCACACAACAGGCTCTCAAAACATTCCCTTAATGGAGCCTAACAGTGCTGGCAAATATTTCCCTCGGAAATCTCGCATTTGCCGATGTGTTGCACCAACAAACGCCAAATCAATCCGGGCTCTGATAACGAAGGCTCCTCGTTAGGAGGCATGCGCAGCCCTGTGCCTTCCTCCCTCCCTAGACACTCTCTCAGGGCTGGTGCAATCCAGGAGGAAAAGCTGCTCAATCATCATCCTATTTCTTTGCTGCTGCTTCCTCTGATGCCCTGATGAACAGAGCTGTCCCAGAGGGAAGCAGGACATCAGTCAGGGCAGCCTTTCACCAGTGGGACTCTCCCACGCGGCTAAATGCTGAATTCAACAGCACGAAGGGTTTGCTGTGCCCCTGAATGACCACACTGGAATACTTTAAAATCTCTCCCTGCACTGCAGTATGTTTCACAAAGGCTGGAGGAGGAGGGGTGGCCTCCTTCCATAGCAAGATTTAATGTGGCTTTGACACACGCTGGCTCTGACCCACAGGGATGAACACAGACTGCTCTGTGACAGACACCCCCTCTTTGATGCTGAAGGGGAACGTCCTTTGTGCTGGGGTGGCACGAGAGGCAGGCAGAGGTCATTCAGCCATCCATCAGGGCTCTTGGTGAGGATCCCCAGTTTCCTAGAGGGGCAGATGATCACAGGACTCTTCTTTTCATGCTCCCAGGTGGTGAGCTCATCTTCTGCAGGGACCACGACAGGAGATCTGGTGTCACTGAGCTCCCAGCCGCTCCGGCCAAGGTCGTCTTTACAGGGTTACCAAAACCTCCACACTCCAACAACTCCCCAAGCTGTAGCAGGATTTGCTCATATTTTCAAACTTCAGGAGTAATGCTGGTAGAGAACCATGGATACCTGGATATGCTGGAAAGGAGGAAAACACAGAGGAAAAGAGATTGTTCTCCTCCCCTCCAGCTGCTCATGGCTGAGGCACTCAGGTGAGTCCTGTGAGAAGGTGAGACAACATGAGAAGATCAAACAAAGAGCTCCAGGGCACAGCAAATGCATCACATCACCCACAGACACCCAGAAACATCACCTGGGAGCACCTACATGAGCTACATCTGTGTGTGCCAGGTGGAGATCCCTGTAACACAGCTCCACAGTTCCCCCCCAAGCATGGGCTGGGAGCATGGAGAACATTTGTTGGGAATATAGCTACATTTGGGGATGGTTTGTACCTCCAAGAATTCAGCTAGAAATAATTGACAGGAAGATTTGCAGCCATCGGCAAACAACGTTTCTTTCCTGAGATCAGCAGCACTACAGGGAAAACAAATTGAAGCAGGTGCGGGAAGAGTTAGGGAGCACAAGAATTGCATTCCTGAGCCAAATGGACAGATTGAGACAGAGGAAAACAAATTGGGAAGGGAAATGGCTGCCTATCGCCCAGATTTTTCAGGCACTAAGAGAAGGTGGAGGTTGGGTTCAGGCTCAGTTTCAGGTCCTGAGAGCTGTGTTAGGGTTTTGCCTGGGATGAGAGTGGATTTTGGGGTGCCTTCCTGCCCTGGGCAGGACTGGGTCTGCAATCCCTGGAGCCTGGAAGGAGCATCCTACAGAAGCACCAGCCCCACCACTGCGATGACCATGAGGAGCCCAGCCAGGATGCAGATGCTGATGAAGACGATGTCGCTGGTGTCCTGGCTCTTGATTTCACGGGCATCGATCGCTTTCCCCTCCCACTTCTGGGCATCCACCAGGTTTTCTGCCTGGCTGAGCCTGGATGGATCAGGGCCAGCAATAAGGGTCACTGAAGCTTCTTTCTTCTTTGGCTCACACTGCACCTCATACTGGTGGATGTCCTCCTGGTCTCCCACTGAAAAATCAATGTAGAGGGTGCTGACGATGACAGACGTGTTGTTGCGTCTCTGCAAGACAAGGGACATGGCTCATCAGGGCTTTGTACAGCTCCTTTTCACAGAGGTTTGGAGGGGTTGGCCAGGAATCAGGCCAGGGTCTACTGGGAAAATGTGAGAGGGACTGGGAATACCTCTCTGCAGCACAGGCCTAACCATTTACACAGCTTGCTGTAAAGGAGGGTTTGCTGCTCACTGACCTGGGATTCAGTGCCACAGGTGTCGAACCTGGTGTGTATTTTAAAGTTCCTGCCAACCACCTGGGCTGCACAGGAGGGCGTCCCCAGATAAATCCTATTCCTCTCCAGCTGGGCCAGGGACTGCACAGGGATCTGGATGTGGAAGTCTGTCCGGGTGCAGCTGACGTTCATGGGCACAACTGTTGGGACAGAAAACAGGGTGCATATGTAGGACTCATGTAGGGGGGTTTCAGGAAAAAGCTACCTCCAGAATGCAAAAAGCAATCAATATCAGTATTTTAGCCCTGTCCTATACCAAGGGCAGACATGGATGGCTTCCACAGCTTCTCTGCTTTCTGTCCAAGGCAGAGATCTCACCATCAACCCTCTTGAACCCCATCCTCCTTCTAGGGTCCTTCTAGGGTCTCCAAGTGACACATAAGTGCCACTACAGGCAACACCATCCTGCTGTCACTGCCACTCTCCATCACTGCAAAGCCAGCAGGACATTTGAGTTGCTGCCCAGGACCAGTCCACAAGAGCTTTGTGGATGGCTTGCCATGGGCACAGAGCTCCCCTGCATCCTGCAACACCCCTGCAAGAGACACTCTGATGAAACAGAGGAGACATATTTTGGAGGGACCCAACGCACGCCCTTGAGTGAGGCAGCTTTGTGGCTGCCACATGGCCCTCCTGAAAGGGTGAGCTGGGTCCATGGCCCTGGGGCATCCTCCTGGGGAGTGGCCCAGCCCAGGCACAGTTCCAAGCATCAGCAGCCCCCCACTGTTCTCAGAATGCTAATTTTGATGGGGAGCTGGTGAGCAGTGTATTGAGGGAGCTGCTGTTGGGCTGCTCATGATGCCAAAATGAAGAGCAAGGCACTGGTGACTCCAGCCCCTCTCCATCACTCTCCTTCTGGCACTGTGTTTGGCCCCTCTGGATGTAGAAAGCATCCACACAGGGAAAGAAGCAGGGAGGAAAAATACCCCCCTCTTTCAAGTGAATCCTTGCTCAGCAAGAACTAACCACTTGGGCAATATGAATTATTGAATTATTCCTGCTCCCTCTGAATCTCAGCCTTATGAAACTGGGAAGATGCAATAAAATCAATACCAAAAAATAGTGTCACTTTGCTTCGCTTAGTGCATTATAAAACCATTAGAAGATTTACCAAATAACTAAAGTGCATTAGATCAAGAGGAGGAGAAAGTGGATCCTCTCTCCTGGCATGAAGGCTTTCATTTCAATGGCCATAAATCACACATGCCCCACCCAAGCCTTGCCTTTTGGTGGGCCTGACAGGGAAATACCTGCATGGCTGCAGGGCTGTAGGTGTGGATGCAGAGACTGAGGTGCCCCTTTGCCTCTCTGTGGGCTCCTGAGGAAGCTGCTGGCAGGGAGAGGCTGGTGTGCCCAGTGGGAGCAGTCGCTCTCCTGGCAGTGCTGGCAGCTGGGTGTGACATGCAGGGCATTAATCACAAGCAGATGCTGGAATCACTGGGCAAACACAACCAGCAGGCTCAGCTCTGTGGAGGGAGGCTCAGTTTCACAGCCAAGCCTTTGTCCTCCCCTAGCATTCATCTGGCAGTGTGTACCAGGGGATGCAGGAGCCTTGGGCAGTTGCAGATGCCACACCCCTCTCTGTGATGGGACACCTCCCACTCTTGAGCAGCACCCCATCTATCTGTCTCCCTCTGGAGCAGTGACACCAAGATTTTCTCCCAGCACACAGCTGTAAACCAGTGAGAAATCTGCAGGACAAGGACAGGGACAGACCTGCAGTGCACACTACAGCCCTACTAAATGTTCAGTACCACCTCTCTCCCTCCAGATACTGCAGAGGCTCAGGACTGAACTCTATCCCATCTCTAACTCCAAGAGCCACGTACCTCCAAATCCCTTCTGCTATGCTGGAAGTGAAGAATGATTTTGCAGCTGAGGGATAAAACCCAGGGCCAGCCTCCCCAGTGCCTGTGTTGCCAGTCCAGCAGCCCTGCTCTGGCCCCAGCCTCAGGAAAGGCTGTCCCTGGCTGAATCATGCCTGCCCCACAGGTCAGCTCAGATGTAATTATACTGCAATACAACAAACGCCATAAATTTGCTGGCATTTGAGGTGCAAAGGCTGGCAAATAGAGCAGGAAGGTCACACACTGCTCCTCCCACCAGCTGCAGACATGCCAGACACGCTGGCTGGGACATGGCAGGTCAGCAGCAGGGGTGTGCCAGGCAGGGCTGGCCAGGTGGATTTGGGAATGCTGTGCCCCGGGGGTCCTGCCCTCCCTCTCGTGCTGCTGCCAGTGGAGGAGGAGACACAGGAGTTTATGCCTGCCTGCTCAGCCATGTGCTGGCAAGGCTAGAGCATCCAGGGGACTGGGGAACAATGTTGTGATGCTTGAGCTGGTCACCTGCTTCTGGGCTTTTGGCCCATCAAAAACCCCCAGGTTTTCTCTCCCTCACATTCTGAGAGAGGAACAGGAACATGGCAGTGGCAGACACACATGAATTTGAAACCAGAAAGCCTCTCCTGAATACCAAACACAACGTGCAGCTCACTCACCACGTCTTCCTCTGCCCCACCCCTAAGGAGCCATGGGATCTGCTCCTGGAGACAGGAACCTTCACTGATGATCCTTCTGGAAATTACATGGTCTCAGGCATGTCCCAGTGGAACCACAGCACTGAGGAGCACCCAAATGGAACCTTACCTCCCACGTAGGAGATGGAGAAGCCCCTCTTGGCCATGTCGCGGTCGGTGTGGAGGACCAGGAGCAGCCGGTTGCTGCGGGAGGTGACGGGTGCCAGGCTCTCCCGCCCACACCAGCGGCCCAGCAGGGATCCATTCTCGGTGCCACCATCAAAGGCAGACAAGTGATCATAGTCACAGCCACCCGTCAGGCTGCTCCGGCCCTCCAGCTCCATGTCCAGGAAGAAGACCTTGACCCGGTAGCCCGGGGGCAGGTGGATGCTCCACTGGCACTTGAGGTTGTTGGGGTAGAAGTTGGGGTACTGAGGGCTGGAGAAATTCCCTTTGATGGTGGTGAACACCTCCTGGCACTCGCCTGCTCAAGGAAAAAGGAGAAAGGAAAAATCAAAAGCAAATCTGAAGCCTCCTGGGTGTGGATGAGTGATCACTTGTTTTATTGCTAAGGGACGCTCTGCCCTTCACCTCACTGCTCCCAGCCTTGTGTTTGGCCAATGGACAGCCAGCAGTTTTTGGGGATGGAAACTCCCAAGGCAGTCAAAGTCCTACAGGAGCAACCCATATCCCCAGAGAATGGCATGAGCAAGGGTGACTCCTGCTCAAGAGGGCAACCCAGGGCTTGGAATAGCCACAGTGATGCCGTTTGCACTGTGTGGTGGTTTACACTTCACACCATCATCTCATGGGCTCTCCCCAAAGGGATCCCCCCATGATCATCTCCTCTTGCTGCTGTGGGAGGGACAGAATCACCACCCCAACCCAGTGCCTGTCCCCACATCCTTCCCATTGCCCCACCACCCTGAGACCCCCGCACCCGAGTAGAAATGGGCCTTGAAGCCCCTGCCACCGATGTTGAAGTCCGACTTGAAGATGATGAGGAGGTGTGGGGTGGAGGAGACGGTGCGGGGCGGGCGGGCGCTGCCGCAGTAACGTCCCAGGCCGGGGGCAGTGACAGTGGGGCCATCAAAAAGGGCCACGTAGTCAAAGCCACAGCCTTGGCCCCCCTCCATCTGGAAGTCAGCAAACACCAGGGTGAGGGGGCCACCACCGCCGGCCCCCCCGATGCTCCAGCGGCACTCGGCATCGTTGGGGTAACTCTCGGGGTAGCGGGGGCTGGTGATCTCCCCAGAGAGCCCCGTCAGCTGCCCACCACAGGCATCTGCAAGGAGGCAAGGATGATGAGGGCAGTGGGAGAGGACAGATGGGGGGATGCTCAGTGAGCACCACACCTCCCTGCTACCTTTCCTGTAGGCAGCGGCGAAGCCGTGCTTGGCCACGTGGCGGTCGGAGCGGAAGACCACGGCCATGACGTGCCAGGCGGAGGAGAAGGGTGGCGGGGGCCTGTGGCCACAGAAGGTGCCCAGGAGGTTGCCCCGGTCCCGGGCAGCCCCGTTGTAGACCTGGAGGTAGTCGTAGGCACAGGTGTCGTGGTACTCCAGCTCGAAGTGGCTGAAGGAGAGCAGGACGGAGGAGCCCTCGGCCACCACGATGAGCCACGTGCACTCTGTCTCGTAGGGATACAGCCCTGGGAAGTTGGGGCTGGAGAAATTGCCAGAGGGTGCTGAAAGCACTCCCCCACATTTGATGCCTGGGGGACACAGAAGGGGGTGTGATGTCCCCTTTCCAGGGGAAGCCTAAAAGAATGGAGACAGGATGCACAACACCAACTCCATCCCACCATCACAGTACCAGAACACCAGCATCCTGCAGAACTCCACTGGGCTTGTCCACCCACTCTCCCTGGAGGACACATGTGCCCCCATCACCTTTCATGCCTCCCTTTTCCCTGTGCTGCCCCGTGGGGGCTGCAGCAGGGCTCAGCTGTGCCTTTGAGTTTGTCCTGCCAGTGCCAGCACAGCATCCCACCTGTTTATGGCTGGGAAAAAGGAAGTTGGGAGTGAGTTTTAAAGGCTCAGTGGTACCAGGCTTGCCAGTGCCCCAGCTGCCCAGCCCTTCAGCTTTGTGCCTCCCACTGACCCCACTCCCTCCATATAAGGGTGGTATCAGAGAATTCGAGCTGGGAGAAGCAGGGGTGAAGGGCTCGATGTGCTGAACAATGAGTTATGCATGTAGGGATCGATTTCCTAATGAAATCTTTATACTGAGACATGGTTATTATAAAATAAGGCTGAGAGGGGCCGGCTGTCACCTGCCCCTGGGTCTGATTAGGGCTGGGGTGAAGAGGCTGATACACGGGGAACATACATCATGTCTGGGAGGGATGCAGACCCTGCACAGCCCCCAGGAGACATGTGTGGGTTCCCAAACAAGGCTGGGCACTCGCTGCCATCAATCTGGGCCGAGTGTATTGCAAATCAATAGTCAGCCTGTGCACATTGCTTTTCATCGTGCTCACTGGCACAGTGACCTCCCAGCAAGGGGGTCCTGGGATGTGTGGGATGCAGCACCACAAATGTGTTTCTGGCCAGATCTAAAATCACCTTGCTAATTACTGGGGATAGGCAGTGAAGTAATATGGGGCTGGTACTGAAGGAATAATGTTGTTGAAATAAATACCCAAGAGGGGAGCCTGTGGGAGAGGTGAGTAGCCACAGTGAAGACAGATAGATGGATTAAGGGCTGGGAGCCTTGGGGTGTTCTGGAAAGGCCAGGTGGGGTATGTGGGGGGTGAGCAGGCACCCCAGGGCAGTGGTGTGGCCTCAGGAGCACCTGTACCAGGGCCAGGGATGGGTTTTAATTTCTGGCTCAGCCTTTCTGTGAGAAAGGCGCTGCCATTTTGGGACGGGGGATTGCTTGGGCCACCCTATCGCCTGAATTACTGTGTCATCTGCTAACCCTGCCCTGCATCCTGGGGGACCTTTTATCTGGGTAAGGTGAGAGATTTATTGCATGCCTGCCACATACACATACATGCACACATTCACATATAAATATATATGTGTATATAGATTTATGTAGGCAAGTGCAACTCCAGAAGCTAACAAACCCTTCACCAAAGCACTTGTACACCACAACACGACAACCCCTACCTGCACTCCTTAGTAAGCATGAAGCAGAAACCCAAGCACAGCAGCATCCACACTTGCTGCCACAATAGTGACTCCACATCCCAGCTCCTTGCCTCTGGCCTGAGCCAGCCCCTCTCCCTGCAGGAGAGCTGGAACCCACTTGCACCCCAGAGCCACTGTGGCACTGCAAACAGCCTTCCCCTCCTCAGGAACCATGGGTGCCCATCCAGCCCACCAGGAGCTGGGTCCAGGCTCTTACCTCTGCTCGGAGCATCCCCGAGAGCCCCACAGAGCATGGCCAGCGCTGCCAGACAGCCCAGCCCTGTGCACCCCATCCTCCAGCAGGCAAATCTCCCCTCACCAGTGCCCGAGCATCCTTTTGGAGCTGTCTATCTGGGAGGAAAAAAATAAACAAAGAGAGAAATAAATAAAAAGCAGGAGGACTGTAGAATTAATAGCGGAATGAATAATTCATCGCTTGTTTGAATTAAGAGCAGCAAGGTAACTTGATCTATTCCTCCCTTCCTTCACTCAGTTTTAATGATCTGGATCAAATGTCCCAAGGATTTACACTATACCAGATACCTTGTCAATACACTATATTTAGAAGAGATATTAATGTTTCAGAAATGGTGTATAACGGCAATAAGTCTGGGCTGACAATATGCCCTTAAGGGGCTATGAAAATAATTTAGTTGGCCAAGCAAGCCAGCGAACCAAAATGGGAATTTCAGACTTACCGCGGAAAAGCATCTCAGGAATTACCATGATTTATACTGCGGCACCACTGCACAAAGCCAGCTGGTGGCGAGGGCTGGAGAAACGGGGAGCAGGACTGAAACGCGGCCGCGTCTCCGTGCTGGCTGCCAGGTCAGCATCCCTGCAGCAGGATCCGGGCTCAGCAGGTTGCTCAGCCCGGGAAAGCAGCAGTCGTGAGCACTAAAGATAGCAAATCCCACCTCCCCTGAGGAAGATTACAGATGAATTGTGACTCATGGGCAAAAAACATCTATTATTATAGAACCTGCTAAGGCCTTGGAGAATTGCCACGTTCTTCCATGCTGGCTCACGCTACTTCTTGCCCAGGCTCTTGGATGCACTCTGCTGAAGGTAAGCAAGCCTTTGGGTTTGGTGGGAAAGATGTGCTCCTTGTGCTGTGCCACATTAGCTGGAGAAACCCCAAACCCACCAGCGGCTCAGTTCCTTCCCTCCCGCCCTGGAGAGAAAAGACTTTCCTGCTGCCACAGCCCACACCCACATGAATGCCAGGAAACAAAATCCCACGAGGGCCTCCCAGCGTGAGGGACCTGTGCTAAAAAAGTCACCTTCACAGCAGCAGGGAGAGAAGCAGTGAGTATCTCTAAATCTCAGGCAGGAGACAAGTTGCATTTATTAATTAAGCAATGAGGATCGATGCCTGAGACATTTCCTGTGGATTAATGATGGGCTGGGAGGAGCTGATGGCCTGAGGTGCAGCTAAAGACCATTAACACCAACTGGTCATGAATCCCCAGGAAGTGCTCCATGCCAAGGTCGTTAAGTGCCTGCATATATTTATGGGGAATAACAACAACAATAATATTTGTACAGGCTCTCTCCCCACTGCCCAGCCTTGCTGGAGCCATGCCGAGGGCTGCTGGGAGTTCTGGGACATCCCAGCCAGGAGCCCTCTATCCTGAGCCCAGCTGAGGCAGGGAACATTGGGTTCTGTCCTGGGGCATTAAGCACTGCATCACCCCACCAGCACCAGGACTAAGAGCACAATAGAATGAGGAGGAGCAGGGCAGCTCCCCCTGTCCCTGGGCACTCTGGGAAGATCCTGCCCCAGTGCAGACTCTGGGAGATGCTGCAACGTTGGCACATCTCCTGACAGGAACATTACAGAGCTTAATTAGCTGCTTCCCTAATGGCTTGGAGAGGAGGTCTGTCCTCATCAACAAGTGTGGGCCTGCATAGCAAAGATGCAGGTGAGGTCTGGCCATGGCACAGGAGCCTCTCCTGGGTATTTTCCATTGCCACAACCCTGGTTCGTCCCAGAGGAGTGCTCAGCCCTCTCAGCCACCATCCGCTGGGCTCAGGAACAAAGTGCTCCCCGACTTCAGCATCGCTGCACTATGGAGCAACATGTTTATCCTCATCATACCATCCTGGGCAACAGCCACTGTCTTCCAGCCTTTCCACCACTGCCCTGGTCAGCACCAAGCCAGTGCCCAGGACCCCAGTACCTGCACAGCTGCTCCTCTCCCTGCCCTTAGCTGTGCTCTGCATCAGCAGTCCCCGGGAGATGGGGGGCCGGGGCTGTGCAGCACAGCAGCTGTGCCCCGCTCCCAGGGGACAGCATCCATCAAGCACCGGCACATTCACCCTTCTCCTGACCCGGGGACAGCCATTCCAGGCTGGGCCTGAGCCCAGACAACCCGGCTGTCAGCTGAAGAGTTGGGTGGGAGGGTGGAGGAAGGCAGGGGGAGAGTGACATGCAGCAGGGAAGCAGAGGAGCCAGGAAGAGAAGTCTGGCTGGAAGGTGCTCTGGATCAGCCCGGGGTACTTGTGCTCCAGCCACAGATATGGTGGGTGATTTCAAGGTGTGCCTCTGTTCCTCTGTGGGCAAATTTATAAATCATGAGTCAAAAAGGCATTTGATTCATTTAAACAGAAAGGACGTGATCAGGACTGTGAGACTTCAGAGAAGATCAAAGGTTTAAAAATGGTCCCCAGGAGAAACAGGAATTATTTAGGCAGGAAATAATGAGATGAAATTAAGAAGGTATTTAGGCTGCACACGAGGAAGAAAAAAGGAAGTGAAGCAAAGCCCCTCTGCCCTGCACAGTGCTGCACGGGTGGCAGGGGCTTCCTGGGGGCAGCCAGAGATGAGGAGCATCCCACCAGCACCCCCCTGCCTGGCAGGAGAGGCAGGATGTGATCCCCTGCCCTGGCTGGGCATCGGCCACCCAGCCGAGCTCACACACCTCCAGCTCCAGAGATGTTCCAGTCACCAACAGCACCGACACCAATTCCCCACGAAACTGCCACCACGGGGTGGTTCTGGGCCTCCAAAGGGAAGGAAACCTCTCCTCTTCCCCTGGCAAGGAATATTCTGCACCAGAGCTTTTCCACTCCACATCCCCGCGTTTGCAGAAATCCACGCCATCCTCTGAAAGGGGCTGTCCCCATGGGGGATGGTTGGGATGAAGGGACTCGTGTTAGAGCCAGCCTGAGAAACAACAAAAGGCAGGAGGGGGAAGGGAGAGAAGGGCAGAAAATAGAGAACAAAGTGCCCGCGGGCGGTTTAAAGGCTCCTTCGAGTTCCTGCTTCCAAGGACATCATCTCCCCCGTGGAGAATGTCTCGCAAAGCCGCTGTCCCCTCGGGCGGGACATGCCCCGCTCGGCCGCAGCCCGCCCCGGCAGGATGGCAGCCCGCAGCACTCACAGCTTGCTCCGTCTCTCACCACCCTCCCTCCGAGCCACGAACAAAGACGGAGCCGCGCGGCAGCACGGCCGGACCAGCTGGGAAGGGTTTAACCATCGTGGCCCATATGTGCTGAAATACCCAGACATATTGGGGTTGTGTTTAAAGGAACAGTCCCAGCTTTCACGCTGAAAGCCGGCGCTTTTCCAAGGCAAGCGTGAAGTTTTTTACCTTGGGCCTTTGCAAAAAGGTGGGGTGTGGTTTTAGCAAAATCTCAAAAATACATAATATTTAAAGCTAGAGGACTAGAAGCAAGGTTTTCAAATACTTAGTATCTGACAAAAATATTTTCTCCATATTCCTAGCTAAGACCAAAGTAGGGAGAGCAACTGGAGAAAGCATCTCATTATTTTATCAGCCTGTGTGTGAAGAAGCACCTTAACCACACAGTGACTTAGGGAGGCTAAGGCACAGCATGGATTGGAGACGAGAGCTGGCCTTGGACAGACCATGGACAACTTCCCTGGATCTCCATGCCTTTAAAGCCAGAACCCCAGTTTGGGTTTGGAAGATGGCTTTCTTGTCAGCCCTTTCTCCAAGGAAGTTAACATGAAAGCTGCAGCTACACTTGATTAATTCCAGGCATTTGGTAACGAGACAAATCTCAGCAGTGCAAAGGGAACTTACACTCCCTCCCAAATGTGTGAATCAAGCCACTACTTCAGTGCACGCTGTGTTTTTTGTGTAACAAACTACATTTCCTTTGTGTAAGGTGTAGTGTTAGACACTGGTACAAAAGAAGCATGAATGATAATGCAACAATCATCTGACACAGCCTGGAAAACCCCACCACAGGATGAACTGGGAATGAACAGAAAAACACAAGGTGTGCAGGACTGTTGTATGTAGATACTAAACACACCAGTCTGAAAAGAGAAGAGTGGATAGCACATACGTCAGAGGAAAAGCAGCACCATTTTGGACTGAAAAAGGAGAGGAAGAGGCCCAGGTGCCCAGGCTGTGTGCTGTGCCAGGCTGCCATCCCTGAGGCAGCTCCCCAGATCTGCTCCCTGTCCCACAGGAAAGCACCCCAGCAGACCCCATGCAGCTTTCCCTCCTCAGGTGGTGTTCCTGTATGCTTAGGGAACCTCCTCAGGCACCTGAGAGAGTCCTGTGACAACATCAAACAGCTGTTTATTTGTAAAGAGGTTCATTTTAATGAGCCAGGGTTATGATACAACGCTTAGGGGACACAGAAAGCAAATAACCATCCTCCCTGACAGACAGCAGCCACCACCCAGCCACGCTCTCCCAGATTTAGGGCATGTCTTTGTGTTCCCAGGTAGCATTTCAAGGGCTAAGCACAGGGTAGGCACCACAGGCTGTGCCAGGGCAGGAGCTCAGCCTGCCTAAGTTCTCACTAGACAGAAAGTATCATTCCATCCTTACGGATACTTTTTCCATATGTAGTTGGAATGGCTGTTTTCAGAGATCAGTGACACCTTCTCTGTATTAATGTACAATGGGGCAACTGAGGCACAGTGAGCTTGAAGGGACTTCCCTGACATGAGCCTGCACATGACAGAACCAAAGTGATCCCAACTCTGTGGTCCCCTTAGCCTGGCAAGGATCCCTGAGGATTGTATCTCTCCTCTGGACACCTAACAGGGCACAACACCACTGCAGAATAACACAGACTGCAAAGCAAGTCACCAATCCTCATGTTACAGCAGAGCTGTGTGCATGGATGCTTTCTAGTACCCCCTTAGGAGATCTCCCTCTTAAAATTGCACTTGAAGACTTCCATTAAAATTGCCATGCAGTCCCTGAGGTATGGGTGGCACACCATGTACCAGCCACTCTGGAATGGCACCTGTTCCTTAAAACACCCTGCAGTGAGGATCAACAAATAGTTGCTCTAAGGAGCTCAGTCTTCTGAGCAGGCCCATTTTGTGCAATGCCTGCAAAGAAACAAGGACATCCAAGGCTCAGCCTAAGGTTCCTCAGGTCAGGAATGTACTGCTAAAAGACAAAACAGGAATTTTCTTCAATTCCTACAGCTTTCAAGTATCTACTCATATCTTCATTGAATGCAGAAGAGCCACAAATTAATACAAATGGCTTTCTTCGACAGGAATTTACTATTGTCTTCATCAAGTCTTCATTGAGACGACCAGTGTACGTGTTTTCCTGATAGCTCCAGGGAAGTTTTTCCAGTGAAGTTTCCTGGAAAGGTAAAAGGTTTGCTGTGTGTGATGTTAAAAAGGACAACATTCCTTAGAGCTGAATCTCCCTCCTCTCTTCACAGTGGTGCACAGGATGATTTTCACCTTTGTGAAATCATGTGGGTGACACTGACCCTTCCTGAGAGTTGCATTCCTCTTCTCAAGCCCAGATGAAATCTTTCCCTGCCACAGGACCCAGCCACTCCCTCAGAGGGGACTGAACAAAACCACAGTGTAACTATCACAAATAAATGCTTCAGAACCTTTTCCACTGAGAACCATCTCCCAGGGCACCCTTCCTATTCCCAAATCCCAAGTCTATTCCTCTCCATTGCCTCTCCCATTCCCAAGTCTCTTTCAGTCCCATCTCCCATGACCAAAACTGAAAGAATCCAGCTCTGCTCCAGAGACAGCTCTGATCCCATGAGATGTGTCAGCTCCTGCGGTGCTGGATCCAGCAGGGACTCCTCTGCTGCAGTTAATCAGGAGCAGAAGGTGCTCAGATGTGGTGGTGACAGGCAGCACAATGAAATACAGACAGATACACAATCCCAAGAGGGAGGATGCACGAGGCAGCCTTGGACTACCACAAACCTGCTAAGAGAGGAGGAAAAAGGGAGAGAGGAGGGCAGACAGTGTTGACAGGGGTCAGGTGGGTTTCATGCCCTTCACTGATTGAATTTCAAGACCTCCTCATGCTCTTGAGACAGCAGTCAAAGAGTTTAAACACCCTGAAAAGGGTATTTAAGCCATGTCACCAGAGACAATTGTGGTTATGTTCCTGCAGAGCAGCTGAGGGGGTGCCCAAGTTACCAGCACATTTCCCTCTACCAAATCTCATCTTGCCAAGGCCACGTGTGGAACAGAATGTATGAGGCAGCTCCACTGTGAGAGATACAAGAAATGATTCATCTGAGAAACTAAAAATGCAATGGGATTCATTCCCTTAGCATAAATAATTCTTTCTATATCCTCCCAGCAATGAATCCTCATTTCTGACGGAAATAATTTTTAACCACCAAATCCATGCAGAACACGGGTAACTTTGGGACCAAATGGAAATGAAAAAGACTGCTCAAAATGTAAGACCATTGAGAGGTATGCCCTCATCCCATGAATGTGGCAGGAAAGTAATTTTACAGAGAGGGAGACAACTTTTAGAAGTTTAAAAATGGGTCAGCAAGGAAAAATAATTGCTGGGAAGTTGGTGCGTGCACACCAGAGGAGAGCTCTAGCCACGAGCAAAGAATGGAAGATAAAGAGAGATTAAGGCACTGGCATTAGGAAGAAGAAAACCATCTTATTTGCTGTTTAGGTGCAACACCAACTGTCTGAAATGGGGGAGAATAACCAACAATGAATATAGAACAGCAGGTCCATCCCAATAGAACAGGGAGGCAAAACAGAACAGTGATGGCCATTCCCAAAAATTCTCCAGACCAGTAGCAGTGTGAGTACATGTAGCAGATTTAAGAACAGCAGCTACTGGATCACAAATTAGGCCAGATGACTGGGAAAGAAATAAGCTCATGCTTATGGAAAAGTGGAGGAGGCAGAGGCTCATCCAGCACACAGAACCCTCACACAAACACACTTCATATCCATTTACTTACTTGGCTTAGGACATAAAATATTCTAATATTCCAGTACCGAGCTAAATCCTGCAGAAGAGGTTTTAAATAAATTTTGTCAAATGTAGGGAAGCAGCCAACAAGAGTTACAAAGGTTTCATCCTCTTCATCATCTGTTATGGACTGAAGGATGGGAATCATTGGTGCAAGGCCAGTGCCAGAAGCCAGCATGAGGAGTTCTCCGTGCTAACAACAAAACAGAATTAGGAATGAGCTGTGGTGGCTGCAAATGAGTGTGCTCATGGTCAGTTCCTCTTGCTGCCACCCTGGTAAAGGGTCTCTTGAGAAACAACATACCAGAAGGTCATGAACTGGTAAATTTAGATACCAAAATGTATTTTTCTACAAAGGATTACAGATAGCACTTAAAGAGTTTACACATCAGATCTAACAAAACTGGATTTTACCCAAATATAATGATTTATCCTAACTTTAGCCTTTATTTCAATTAATTAATGTTTCAGTTTCAATTCTGCAGTATGCTTTGCTGATGCCCTGTGTGTTTTCTTCCACTGGAAATGCTGCCTGGGTTACTCTTTTGTTTTTGCAAACTAAAATCCTTAACGTCCTCTGGAGGAAACGAGTGTGTCAGGAAGCAGAACACAATTGCTCTGCATTGAGCTTGCCCACTCAGATTTTACTTATTTTTGTTGGGGAAAAAAAAGGCCAAACAAAATCAAATCCACCAAAAACCCCAAAAGGCTTTGGGATCTTAATGACCAGTGTTTCAAATTTGCTCCTCATTTGAAAGGCCAGAATTAAGTAACTGAATTAGTGTGTGTGAGAAGCCTCCCCCTGAAACCAGATCTGCCTTTCCCTGCAGCCAGCCTGGTATTGGCAGGTGGGATCAGCGACTTTGGGGAGCGACTTGACACCTCTACAGCTCAGGGAATACCCGAAAGAGGAGAAGATTAACACCTGCTCTTCACCCCTACTCAGTCACAACACAGAGATGTGGGTCAAATTAGGCAAAAACCCATCCACACTCATTGCTGGTGCAAAGAAAGTTCCCTTTGTTAGGCACATCAGGAACTCTTAATGCAAGTGATGAACACAGAGCCTTGCTAATATTTTCCTGTCTCCCATCCATCTCCTCTTCTCTCTTAAATATTCTGCAGTACAAGAAAGTGCTCCATCTGACTGCTAATGCTGTCACACTGTACAGTAACCCAGGAAGTCTCTAAAATAATCATGAAAACAGTAATCAAATTGATGTCTTCCCTTCAGAGTATTGAACAAAGCTTGCTGCCACAGGCTGAAGCATCCTATGGCTCTTAGGAACTAACCTTATTAGGTTGATATGGGAACCCTCCAAACGGCCCACGCCAAAAGACCACGTCTCCTCTTTTCCACGTTTTTATGTATTGTGACATTAGCCCAGCTTCATAGCACTAATAAAAAACATTGCACAAAAGAAAAGAATAATTATACTCCACTGGAAAGTTTCCCAGCTTAAAGTCGATTATAAAGTTATCTACATTTAAACGAAAAGAGGACAAAAAACCATTTTGTGTATTTAAAAAAGAAAGAATGATCTGTTTGAAAAATAACTCAAAGTTATACCCAAAACAAAGACATTTAAATTAAATCATATTGGAAGCACTCCAGCTTGACTATAATGTAAACACAACCCCCTTCTCACGCAGCCTGAATTTCCAAAACTGGAAAAGCTTATCAGAGTTCTTGCTTACAAAGCACTCAGAGAAGAGTGTCTTGAATGCAAAGCACAGTGCAGGCCTTCAAGTGTTCTCCAAATCTCAGGGTATGGGGGTCTGGAAACGCCCTCTGGGTACTGTTAGTTATATAAACACCACATAGCTCTTGCTTTGTTTCAGCCTCTCAGATGCTGCACCGATACAATTACTGACCCAAAGTCAGGTTTCTCATTTGTAAAACCCTTTGTTTTCAGACCAGATCATCTGGATGCTGAGGGATGCCTCCACAGTTCCAAAATATGTTAATGTTGGGCCCATGGAAGAAAAACAGGAGCAAAAAACCTGCCTCACTTTCCACCAGGCACAAACAACATTATCCAGGCTGTTGCCTGCAGGAATGCTGCTCTCACTCGTGACTGAGGAGAAGGGCTCAGTGCTTGCTGGAAACAGAGAAGGGACAAGAGGATAGAAAATGAAGGGCTTGTCCAAGTAGTCATGTTGCCACCCATGCCCTAAATGTGTGACCACTGAATGTTTTAGGAGAGAAATGTGAGCAAAAGAGTGGCCGTGGTCTGGGATGTGTCCAGAGAACCAGGACTGGCCCAAGCAGCGAGAGCTGAAAGCCCAAAGCTGCAGCACACAATGGGTCTCACAGGATAAGCCTGGGGAAGAGCAACACAACCAGGGGTCAGAAGATGGGATGTGATACAACCCCTTGGCAACTCCAGCCCGCACAAAAGAAGTGTATTTGGGGTATTTCCTGCACAGGCATTGGAGAGAAGCCTGGCTCCACACCCCAGTGCCTTGGCTGGCCACCAAGCTGCACTGCAGGCAAACAAAATTGGTGAACCACAAAGCAGCTCAGAAAAAGCGAGTGAGGGAGCCTGTGCTTGTGACTGCAAGCAGTGTTAGCTAAGAAAGAAAAAAGATGCTCCTCCCTTCCCAGCCTCTCACTTAAAACCTGAAATATTAAGAAGTATTAGCACCAGTTGTTACATTCAAAAGGTAAATCACACACACATCCAGGCTCTGAGTTACTGTCAGAATTCTTTTATGTTCAGAGGGCTCTGGGCAGGTGCTAAGTCTCATGCAAAGAGTGTGCACTTGCTTCAGAGAAGCAAATTTTATACCTCCCTTCTTCAAATACATCCGGAAACCCAAGGCAAGAGCAGAAAAGTTTACTTACTGCCTCTTCCCAAAGGACAGGGGTAATGGAAACTAAACCAATCCTTCTTTCACCAAAATTATTTCCAAAAAAATTGAAGTGAAAAGTGATTGAGTGGGTTTAAAATGAGTTTTTCTAAATAAAAAGAAAAAAAATGTATCTCCTGGGGGAAAACTTCCACACCCCGTTTTACATGGAGAGAAACCCTAACATTATAAAATCACTCAAAAAGAGGGTTATGCTCTGTAAATGGCAACTCCCTCACTCTTAACTGTAGTATCACAAATGCAATGCCATAATAATAGGAGACAGAAGGGTTTGAACAGTGCTTGGATTACATAGTAATAATAATATACTACTTTCCAAAATTGCCTCAATAGTGTGAAATATACCACAACCTACAGAGTGAGTTATAAAAATGGCTGCTTTACACTGGGTGTTACCAACCTCTTTTGTCACTGCCAAAGAATAACTATAGCTCCTTTTGGGATGAAAGGTTCTATATAAAGGAAAGGTATCATTACAATCATTACTATTATTATTGAAATGCAAAACCTGTGAGTAATGAGCCGCTATACATGAAATTTCACAGTCATCCTATGAATGTATCCTATTAATGCAACTCAAATGCAACGTTTCTCTCCCCTACTATACAACAATTGCCACAAGAATGGGGAAATGACCCTCCCACAGGTGTCCTAGAGAAGCTGTTCACTTTTCTAAAGAGCAGGGTTTGTGTTAGAACATACAATGCATAATAAACCCCAGAAACGTGAAATCCTGGAAGACAGGCAGAGAACAAGTGGCACTTCTCTGCAAACCATCTGGGATACCCAGCACTCTGAATTTCACACCTGTACTGAAGTCTGTGTCTGCCCTGAGGAGTCCCTAGTGACATACAGATGCAGTATTGGAAAAATGATCAAGTCAGTATTTGCCACACAAAATAATAATTTATGAGCACCCTGAAGACTTACATGAGACAAATTTCTAGCCAAATCTCCTATAAAATCCTTTTGAACTCAACCAGCATTTTGTGGTTGACTCCATAAAGATGAGGACATTTGTCCAAAATGGGCTCTGCCACCATGTCCACCTCAATAGCTGAAGCCTGTGCCTATGGGACACCTCTCTGCCCTGTGGGGCACAAAGTCCCTCTCAGACTGCAGCTCCAGAGCCCTTTCTTAACACCAGGGGCAGCTGCCCACTGAGAGGGGTGTTCTTCAAGTAAAATACAGGGGGCAGGATAAGGGCAAACATTTCCCATAATCAGTGGTTCAGCTGGGCTGACAAATGGGTGCGATTTCAAAGACAGCCTGAAAAAGCAAAATGAAAGGAGAGAAGTGGAATGGACACATCATTCCATCCCAGGGGCTCTCCCAGGTGATCCCAGGGCTTCTGCTACAAAGCACTTGTTTGTGTGTCAACTTATTCTGCTTTCAGTTTTGTGGGAAAAACTGCAATTTTTATCAGCAAAGCAAAAACAGTTCAAAACAACAGAGAAACAGTCCATGAGGGATTTGAGAGTCTCACTTGAAACACTGACAGCATGCTTGGTTCCTAAAGAAAACACCTTATACTCTAATCCATATTGTCCAGGCTTACTTACTTTAATAAGAACTTCAAAGTAACCTTCTGCATTCCTGGGGCTAATTGGAGTATAGGCTCTCTGCACCTCCAAACCATTCACCACTCCTCTGAGAAGAGAAACAGGAAACCCCTGTGACTTGGGTCTTTCGGGGGGCTCCTGCTGCTCCACCCTGTGCACAGATGCAAAACATTTCTCTTTCAGAGGCAGAAATCCAGGGGGAACTTAATGGCTAACAGCACCTTTTGTTTTCCCGATGGTGGCCTCAGCTGTACCACATCCAGCTCCTGGACACACCCCTGAAAGGGATTTTGTAAGAACATGCATGAGTGGCAAAGGGGAGAGAAAATGCTTAAGTTTGCTGCTCCTTTTGAGCTGGGGTCACTTTCTGCATCCAGTCAGCATTTGGTAATCAAATAACAAAAGCCAAGGCACAGCCTTGACCTCAGGCCTTGTCAATATAGACTGTATTTTCCTGTAAGTCCTCCCTTTCCATGGAATTATCCACCCTGCTCTTTGCTACTGACCACGGGAATTGATTGGAGTGACCAAACCTTTTTCTGTGCTGTGTGATGAGCCAGGGCTGGAGGGAGGAGCGTGTGCTGTCAGCAGAGCCAGCTGCACACACCAGCCCTGAATGTACCAGGGACGTCAGCAGATGCACATCAATGGCATCCTAACAGGACTTTCTCTATCTGGCAATGATCACCACAGATGGCTCAGAGACAGAAACTTTCCCCAAGTGGCCCCTTTCTGGCAAGCAGCAAACTACACAGGAGGGCTGTTTTGCTGGAAATCAGTCAGGCAGTGCCTGGGTACTGGGGTGCTGAGTTACCCCAAGATACAGGGCCTAAAATACCCAGCTCTGGGGCAAGTGCAGCTCATTGTCTTCATTCCAACACAGTGGAGTAAATAATCTGTTGTAAAATCTATTCTTTTAAATCTTTCTTTCTGCAAATGTATTTTCTTAATCACACCTAGCTCTTTGTGAGCCACCAACGCAGGGATAATGCTGAAGAAAACTACAGCTTTTACCGTAGAATTAGTAGAGGCAGCAAGCTCACGAGCTCTTTCATCTGTGTCATTGTGGAGGTACAGAAATCATGATTTGCCTGCTATGAAGCCTTTGTCTATTGACAAAACCCTACGTGTTAGGTTACATAATGCAGACTGTTTAACTAGCACAGAGAACAATACCTTAACACGATATGTTGTCCTAAACTCAATTGCAGGCTGCTATTTCCCGGTAATTCAAATTTGTACTGGTAGGTGTCCTCTGTCAGCTGCTCCACCGAGCTCACGCTGAATGCAGTGAATGTATCTGGATTCAGCTCTGAATTATTGCTCTGCAAGAACAACAATAAATAATTACTTGGTTAGATGGTGTCTTTTATTATTTCATTTTTCTCTGGAAGCAAACGTGTGTGCTCATTTAGTGCCAGAGATACTCAGGACGTATATTAAACACTGAGGGCCGGTGCAAATTCCAGCTCTCTGCTGATTCATTATCATGTTTTGCAGCATGCACTTTGGGATCTTGCATTTCTCCCCACCACCACCCTTTTAAATTACTTTTTTTTACACCTTACAGCAAGGTCATCCTATTATGACTCACTGCGATCATTTTCTCATGTCTGGAAACAAACAGAAATAATTCTGCTAAAAAAGCCAAGTGCTGCTTTGGGGACAACTTTGCAACCTGCTGATGGCCACAGTGAACAGAAAATATTGTCAGTTGTTTCAGCTGATCTTTTTTGCTTGACCCAGCATAGTTAATCTAATGTAAAAGGGCAATGACAGGCTTAAAAATTACACTCTGAAGACAACTGCTCAACCACACACAACGCAGTTTTTTGTCAGTATCAAAATACGAGTCTAAAAATCAGGCAAATATGAGAAAGGTGAGGAAAACAAAGCTTCTCCGAGGAAACTCGGAGAGAAGCTGCAGAGCCAGAGCTGTAATGTGACACCAGGGAGAACTCTACACTTGGAAAATCACATTACAGCAGGGAGAGAGTGGCCAAGGGGGAGGGTGAAGGCTGACTTTGGAGAATTGCATTTACAGCCCTCTCTTAAGGCACCATTTGAATTTATCCTTGCATCCCTCACCCAACACCACCACCCCACACTGAACAAGTACGATCAAAGCACAGGCTCCAGGATGCGATGAAGAGAAATCGACCTGCTCCTTCTTTCCCATGAGAAGGCTTTTGTCTTGCATTGCTTTGGCTCTCTCCCACTGTGCAAGCTCCTTCTCGTACACATCGTAGATGCAGGGCTTGCAGCCGCTGCCGCAGCACTGGGATGGAGAAGGTTCCTGGGGCCTCAGAGCCAGCCAGTCCTCCTCGTTGTCACTCATTGCCTGCAAAACACAAGCCCTGCATCAAACCCAGCACGATGAAAAGCAGCGCGTGCTCATCAGCCGGGTGTTTTCGGAGAAGGACAGAAAATCTCTCTTGAGCATTTTGCGTGTGTGTCAAACCGAAAATCTGGAGCTGGTCTGTGTCTGCAACACCCCATTTTTGCTCTAGTGCTCAATGCCCCTGCAGAAACACCAGACTTCGCAGTCACCAGCCCAGAGCAGGGCCTCAGCCCAGCCTTGGGCCCTCCTCCCCAGACAGGCTGCCCAGGCAATGCTACACCCTTTAATCCTGCTCGTTCCGCCGTGGTGATTTCCTACAATAGAGCCACTTGGTCACCCGGAGCAGAAATATCTTAAAAATCTGCTGCTCGGTCCAGGAGAAAGGGCGACAAACCCAACCACCAGGACAATGGGTAACAAACCCAGCCACCAGATGTAGCCTGAGTTTTGTGCAGCTTTGGACCGGGGGGGAGGGCAGCGAGCTGAAAGCAGCCTCCAGAGCCGAGAGACTTGAGGCAAAGAGGGCAAAGTCTCGGTGAAACAACCACTTTGGTCATGGGCTTTGAATATACGGCTTTAAACGCACATGTAAGGAAGCACAGGGTTTTATCTCTTGCTCCCGTTGCTTCCAAGCGAGTTGTACGCACTGAACACTCCTGAGGTGCTGCAGGCCTGGCGGGCCCCTGCACCCTCACACACGGGCTGAGGGAAGGCTGCTCACAGCATCCCTCGGACACAAAGCGGCCCGCAGGAAATTATGAAGCCACGGGTGACGAAGTGGAGGAAGCGAACACTTAGCGCTTCCAGCAGTTTCACTGTCAAGGTCAATTAATTAACTAACCTCCACCCCTGTAACAGAAATCATTTCAAGGAGGGGGGCGAACGGAAGAAAGAACCAAAGGCGACTGCCCCGGCTTCCTACCGCTCTGTCCGGGGACGCGGAGCACCCACGGGCTATCACCGCGGGTGAGTCCGGGACGCCCGGGCTCGGGGCTGCGCAGATTTACAGAGTTTCGAGCACTCACTGTGCACCCCCGGGGGCTCGGACAGAGCGGCCCCGGGCAGAGCGGCCCCAGCCCCGGGACACCGGAGCTCCCGCCCAGGGACGGTCTGTCAAGTGCCCCCCCGCCCCACAGGAGATGAGGCGCCTCTCCCCGCCCACCTCGCCACTCACCAGCCCAGCCCTGCCCTCACCGCCAGGCAATTTGCCGACCCTCCCTTACCGCGGGGCGCGCCTGCCGCCATTGGCCGCCGCCGCCGCCAGTCACCGCGGGTGGCGGTGGGGGACGAGCCTCGCCAAGATGGCGGCGGGCGGGCGCTGAGGCGGCGGCGGGAGGAGGAGGAGGATGGTGGTGGCGGTGATGATGGTGGCGGGGCCGATGGCGCTGAGGCGGGCGGGGGTGGTGGCAGCGGCGGCGGCGCGGGGCCTCGCCACCCGCGCGGGGCGGCCCCGCCACCGCTCGCCGCTTCCGCGCACGCCCTGGACCGTGCGCGGGCCGCCGCCGGAGGTGCTGGCGGAGCTGGCGGAGCCGCGGTCGGTGCGGGAGCAGGTGGAGCTGGACACCGTCACCTACGCGGAACGGCTGCACTACGTGCCCGGCCTGGCCCGGCCGCGCTTCCCGGCTTGGGACCGCGGCTGGCGCGACCCCTGGCACACACCGGGGCCGCGCTACGAGGAGATGGCGCTGTACAAGGAGCGCGGGTGCTACATCTGCCACCAGGGTGTCCGCATGCTGGAAGGTACCGGACACCCGCGCTGTCCCCTGCCCAAGCACTCGCCCTGCTCCTCCTGCCAAGGGTTCTCCTCGCACAGAGTGTAAAACACGGGCTGTGCCCAGCCCCACGAGCTGCCGGTCACACACGAGTGGCTTGGGTTGGAAGGGGCCTTGAGCATCGCCGCTGTGACCTGTGATAGATCACGCTGGGTTGTGTTTCCAGGAGTGCGGCAGGCGCAGTGGCTCACCAAGACGAAGCTGGTGGAAGGTTTGCCCCCAGCCGTGCAGGGCATTCTGGACAACCCGGCTCTTGGGCTCCAGGAGCTCGAGGAGAGGGCGGAACACATGGTGTCCCACGCGCGGCTCTGGGACACGGCAGAGGTTGCTCCCAGGAGGGAACGATATTGGTGAGTGCTCAGCTGTAAGGGAGGTTTTAAACGCTACAGAGAAAATTCATACACAGCTCTTCCGTGGAAAGACCATCAGATTGTCAAACAAAACAACAACCAAAGCAACAAATAAAACCCAATTCTGAATATTGGCAGTAGCACTGACATAAATACTACGCTAGATCAAAGCTTCTTTCAGGCCAATGTCTCTCTGTGTCAACTCCCGATCTACTTCTAGCTGATGCAGAGTATCAGTTTTTAAAATAATTGTAAGCATTACCTCTGCCAACTTGAAACAGGCCTGGTGTGTGTGATACCAATCTGCAATCTCTGTTAACTGTTTGGGAGTGTTATGCCATTGTATGTTTTACATACAGTAATTTTACAGCATTAGTGCTCCAGAAGCATCTGCCTGCTATTATGATCTCATTTTTATGTAACTGTTTATTTTCTTTTTTTACAGCCCAATGCTCTTTGAAAACCTGATACATATATGCCGGTTAATGTCTGGGAAGTTTCCTTCTCTGAGTAAAAGGATGTTGGCTAGAAACTGCAGGATAGCAGCAACGTGGGAAAGAGGTCAGTTGCCGCTGTGGTGGAAGCTTTTAGCTCTGTAAGATAAGAGGGGTAGCAAAGCTCCTGCCTTTAAGGCTGAGGACTTGGAAAAAAATTAAACAATTTCTGGAACCAGGTAGTTCTTTCTGGTTTAAACAGCGTTATTGGCATGGGCAGCCATGGATGATGGCAGGATGCTGTCCCTGAGGAGATTATTAGCTGTTAATCAATATGACAAGACAGTGGGAGAAGGGAGCCAGTGTCTTAGACCTGATTGTTTATTTTCTTGTGTCCTAAATCAGTGCCGTTGTTTTTCTAAGGACGTTTAGTTAAGAACTTAGCCCTAGCAATTAACGTTGTCATTTTAGAAGAACCTACACGAGTTACTATTTAAGATAGGTTTGGAGGTGAGGGGGAGAGAGTGAGCCTTGCAGAACAGATTGGCAAAAGGAAATTTACATCTTTCCCTGATATTATTTCACCAGTGTTTGACTGTAACCTAATTTCCCTCTCCAGAATCCTTCCTCCTTCAGGTCCGTGGCCTGAGTGGAATACTCATGAACTCTATGACCCCAATACCACCAGTAGCCTCCAAGGAGGAGATACTGGCCACCAAAGAGCATGTTCTGGAGACCTTCTATCCCATTGCGCCTACAATCGATCTTCAGGAGGTGAATGTGTACAAAGAGCTCAATGATACAGGTCAGTGTTGATGATAATTATCTGTGTCAGGGTTAACTTGGGAGTCCTTGTCCTTCTGGAGGCACCTGAGAGTAGGGACTGTGTGGGAGTGAGGGGACAGAGGAGTGGGCACAGGTTTGAAGTGCAAATGCTGCAGACCTGTGGTGTGTATATTGTTGCCTAAGCAGGACTGAGCACAAGAACTCCAACCCCAGCGAACTACTTGAGCAGTTCCTGAAGATAAGGGGAGAAAACCTTGGCTGCACAGTGCCTTCCTGAGCAGTTTCTGACATGAGTGTGTGCCCTTTAGGTTTCAGAGATGGTTATCCCTACTCTCATCCTCACACCCTGTTCTTCCTGGAGTCTGCCAACGTTCGCACGGACAGGTTCAGACCAGAACAGCTCCGTGCTAAAATGCTGATGTTTGCTTTTGGCAACGCGCTGGCCAAGGCCAAGGCTCTCCACGGGGTACGTATGGGAGCCTGCTGCTGGGCCCCTCTTCTTCCTCTGCTGCTGCAGCCGCTGCAGGGAGGCCCAAAAGCCCCCTACAGTCATTTTCACATCCAAGCTTCCCAGTGCAGAGGTGAAAACCCAACCTTCAGAGATCCAGAAATCCACTGCTCAGTAGTGGGCGTGTTTGTGACGCAGTGGGGTGGTATGGGCAGGAACCAGGGAGTAAGTTCAGCTGTAAAACTCTAACCCATCCCACAGCTCAGTATGTAAATTGACAGTTCATTGCTGGCTGAAGGAGGAATTTTAATTAAAATACAAAATCTACATTCAAAACTTGTTTGACTAGAGTAATTTTCTGGGCAAGGTAACAATATATTTATTAAAATCTTGGCTTTAAACCAACTCAAAGATGCAGAATCAGCAAGTACTCATACGATTTCTGTTGTAACTAGCTTTTGAAACGTTCTCCCCCACATGCTCCTTCTTTTCCTAGAATGATCCCAAGGTTTTGGAACAGCCAGTAGTGGTGCAAAGCATTGGCACAGATGGACAGCTCTTCCAGTTTATGGTGTTCCAGTTAAATACAACAGATCTTGTCTCTAATGATGGCATAAAAAATCTAGTCTGGATTGACTCTGATCAGAACCTGTATGAGAGAGCCCAGTGTGTCCCAGAAGTTAAGAAGAGAGTTGTTACGGTAAGGAAAACTTGGGAAATGGTGGTGGAAATGCTGCCCTTTCACCACAGCTGGGGTCTGGGAGCTGGCACAGAGCTGCAGCAGGTTTTAAACTCGCTGGAGGGACCTGAAGGGAACATTGGCCTCATTTTTACCTAAGCAGGTGTTTCTGGGGGTACCAGTTCCTGAATATTTGTAGTGCTGATGTGTGACATGCCAAGCTTAACATGAACTCCTCCATACAGATACCCCCAGCTGTAATCCACCATCTCATAATGTGCTTGTTCCAAGCCAGCTCTGAGGAAGGGAACTCCCACAAGAGACAATCAGCCTCTCTGGGGAATGAATAGAGCAGGGGGCTGCCAGTACTGGTTATACTGGGAGGGTGTCTCACTCACAGGCAAAGGGGTTCTGCCCTCTGAGATTGACACCAGTGGAAGTACCCCCTCACAAACCCTTCTGGGGAGGGAGAGCACAATTTGGAAGCTGCCATGCCTGAAAGTCTTATTCAAGCATGTTTAAAGCCGTTGTTTGTCTACATTAATCACTTCACTGCAAACTGAGCATCCGTGTCTTTTTTTCTGCAGAAGCCCGCTGGAATTTCTGGCTTTCAGCCAGACACATTCAAGAAGTTTCTGGCACTGTATCTGCATGGAACTGTGTGAAATTCAGCTCAAATGAAAATACTTCACCAACTGTACCTGCTGCTTCTCTTTGCCAGAACCATCATATAATTAAAGAAAGGTGGATTAATTTACTTTAAAAAATAAATTATATTGTTACTGAAAGTAAAACTTTTTTTTTAAACTAAACAGTGCATGAAGAAACTCTTTCATTTTAGGGTCTCACCTCTGGATTTGGGTTAGAGAAGTCGTCAGATGCATCCTCCTGCACTCTTCCTCCATTGCCTGGGAAGAACATAAGCCAGTCATTATTCCTCTGCGCAGGCTCTGCTCTCAGTGTGCTTCTGCACAGAGACAGACTCAAACCTATTCCCGAGGTTGCTTTGAGTCCCTCTGAATGCAGAAGAGACTTAAAAAGCTTCAAGGGGAAAGCCTGAGCTACGAGGCTTTTTCATTCTGCCTGGCTTTGACTTTGTTTTACTCCTGGCTGCCGTGGGATGCGTCGTGCTGCCCTGTGCTTAGTTCCCAAAGCACTTAATCGGAGGGATTGCTTTGTTGGATCTGTAGAACCACAGTCCTTTTATTCCCCCAATCCTGGATGAAGAGACCTGTGCATTTGGGGAAAGTGGTGTAGAATGTAGAGGGAAACTTTGGTGCCTGTAGCTGGTATTTGCTGCTAAAAATACAAAGGAAGAATTTCTTCCTGCCACACAGAGTTAACTGAGCAGGAAGCATATTCTTTTTAACATGGGGGGATTAGTGTGGGTTTTATAAAATGAAAGCTAAATTAGCTGCAGCCAAATGTAGAATGTTTTGCAGTTCTGGTACCCTCCAGCACATGGGAAGGGAGAGGACAGCCTGCGCTATTTTAAGGTGTGGAAGAGCACATTTCCAAGAAATTCATCTCACTTCAGTGTCTTGTGTCAGAGGCTGGTCTGTGCTTTGTGATCCCTGGCCATCTGGATGAACACCCCAGTTGTGTGTTCCAGCCCCAGCCCATCAGGCAGCTCCACTCTGCAGCTTTCGGGAACGTTCACCAGTCACATTTGAGATCAACAATTGCACCCCGTAAATTGGGATGCAGTGGCTGCAAGCTAAATTAACAAATCCCTCTACAGTTAGCAGAAGAAGTGCTTGAAAGAGAAAAAACCTCATAAGCATTGCACTGCTCTGCATCATCTTAATCCTGCCTGCTCCAGGGATGCTTAATTCAGCTCAACGGAGTAAATCTGTTCAGGTCTGTGATTTGCACCCAGGTGTTTGGGAATCCGTTTGAACAGAGCTGTGCTCCGTGGAGCCTGTCACACGCAGTGGGTGTTTCTTTCTCGGGCTGTTGGCTCCCTGCTGTGTCACACGGACCCTGCTTGACATCCCCTCGCTCTTCCAGCTTCGGGTCATTACCCGTCCTAGGGAGGAAGCCCTGTAGGGCAGCCAGCTGCCCTTAGCATTCCTGAGGAGAGAATTTCCCTGAGGAAGCCTGCTGGAAGAGCAGCTGTGCTGGAAAGGGGTTGTGTAGAGGTGAAACACCTCATGTGCTTCTAGTAGATGTGGGAATTTGTGGGGATGGTCTGTCTGGAAGAGGCAGAGTCCCTTCAGCTGCTTTTACCTCTCAACAAAGACATCTCTGTCAGGGCAGGCAGTCGAAGGGGAGAGACTGAGGGAAGCTGGAGCCCTGCTGTGTCCAAGCTGAGCTGAGACAAAGCACAAGCACGGGGAGGATGGACGAAGGCAGAGCAAAGGCGGGTTTGAAAAATAGCAGAAGCAGGGAGACATGGGATGGTCAGCAGGAAAACAAAGCTTTGGGGGTTGTGTGAGGCATCAGGAGGCTGCTGCAGGTGAGGGGATCATACACAAGGCTGTGAGGCCACATCTCTGCTTTGCTGAGGCACAGCCACTCTCACCTGAGGCCGGGGGGAAGCGGTACCTGTGTGTCACTGGAAGGAGCTGGATCCTTGTGCAGGGAATGCTCCTCTGAGGGCCTGGAGGGGAGCTGAAGGCAGAGGTGAGTGGAGCTCCCAGCATGGCACCTGGCACCATGCTCAGCTCTGCCGTGGTCCTCTAACCAGGCAGCCCCTACCACCCATCCTTGGTGTCCTGCTGCGCTTCCCAAACACTCTGCATGGCTCAGCTCTCCCAGTTCCCCCAGTGGGCCTGCTGGAACCGGCCCAGCTGAGGGAGGTGGGATGGGGAGCCCAACAATGGGTCACAGGAGCACATCTGGGTTGGCATCAATAAGTTATAAAGGCTCATCAGCAGACAAATGGCGTTACCTCAGCACGGACCAGGGCCAGGCATTAACTTTTCATGAACGGCAGCCAGGGAAGCAGAACATGTAAGAATGGGGTGGCAGGAGCCTGAGATGAGGAGGCAGAGGAACCTGGCTGCCCACAGGAGAGCTCTGGAGGACCCAGAGGAGCCTGGCTGCCCGCAGGAGAGCTCTCCACCACTCCACAGTCCCTTGCCCTGAACCGCTCCCACTGCAAAATCCAGCTCCACAGGCTGCACACATCATGCCAACAAGTACACACCGTGCTGAGCCTGGAGCCCCTGGTTGTTCTGATCCTCCTCCTGCATTTAATTTAATGAAAACTAATGGGGGAGACAATTATCCCTGAGGCTGGGCTCAGGAGACGTTTCGAGGAGGGAACTTGGCAGTTTCATGGCGATATTTAATAATACCAGCCTGTAACCCTTAAGAAGCAAAAGGAAGGACTTTCTGTGCCCCACAATAAAAACACAACAGGCAGCAGTGCAGGAGCCTGCTGCTCTGAGCAGCTGAGCAGGGCTTGGGTAGGCAGGGATGGCCCCAGCGGTCTGGGAGGGCAGGATTTCCTCATCAGCCTCAATCCCTCAGGAGTCATGAAACCGAGTGATGGACAATGCTCATACTCTACTTTCTGCAAGGCACAGGGGGATGTGATTGCCTGGACCAAAATCCACACTGGGGATGGCTGCAGGCCCTGCACATGGACATCTGTGGTATTACCCTGGAAGCAAACCTGCCCAGGCAGCAAAGGCTGCAAACACACCCTGCTCCTCTGGCGATGGCTGTGCAGGCACGATGGTGATCCCCAAACCCAGGAGCCATCCAATGCATTGCCCCCTTGCCCTTCTCCAGGAGCATCCATAACCACACGGTGCTCGCTGCTGGAATTCCAGCAGTGACGTGGCTGTGGGTGCCAGTGCCAGGTGGGAGCATTCCCCAGGAGCAGCAGAGCTCCAGGATGGCTCACAGCCCCCCGAGCCCACAGCCCACGCCTGAACATTCCCACAGGGAGGGGGAGAGCTCCCAGCCAGCCATGTCCTGCCCCAACTAGTCAAAGGCAGAGAACGAGTCTCACACAGCAGCTCCTGGGAGCGTTTCAGGCACCTGGCACTTGCAACCACCCATGCAAAGCCTAAAAATTTCCCAATCTTCCCCCCAGCCTCTGATGCTGCCCCTTGGGGAACCAGGTTGGGTTGCCTGGGTTTCTCCATCCCCAGTAGCTCCTGGAGCTGTTTGCTCCTGTGTGTGCACACACCACCCTGCACTGCAGCTCTTGCCCAAGGAGGGGGTCACAGACCCCACTGCAAGCTCAGTATTTACACATTTGGAAACAACACTTGTGTATTCCCCTCCCTTTCTTACCTCCCAGCAGTGCAGGACTCTGGCAAAGGGAAGTAGCAGCACCCAGAGCCAGGGAGCTGCTGCAGGGCAGACCAGCCTCCATCATCACGCTGGTATCCCAACTCCTCCAGCCTCTAACGGGCAAAGCCTGGGGAGCAGTGAACCAAAATTCCCTTTTTAGCCCCTAAAATACCCCTCTCTGCCTGCAGCCTGATGGGCTGGGTGTGGGGAGGGCAAGAGTCCAGCCAGAACATCCTCAGCCTGCTGCAGACAACTCTGACCATTTTCTAGGCTAGATTTTTCAAATGCTTTAAAAAAACCCAAAAATTCCAAGAAACACACATGCATCACTAAACCTCACCTAGGTCCTGAACTGCATCCTGAATGGTCCTGAATCCCTCTGGAATTTTGAATTCCCAGGCTCAGCCAGCCCCTCTAAAACTCCTCCTCAGCTCTGCATCATCTCTGCTCCTGCACCCCAAATCTGGGGCTTGGCCCTTGCTAAAGGTTGGAAAAAAATACCCAACTCCCACCCTGGGTCTGGCAGCAAACACCAGGAACAAACTGCAGAGCACCGAAATCAAATGTTTATGTTGATATTTATTACAGCAGGGGGAGGGGGCAGAAGGAGGGGGAACCGTTTCATTCAAAAAACCATCCCATACCAATGAAGACAATAATTTAGCTATTCATTTTAAAATACATTAAAACCGGTCCTCTCATTTCCTCACATCAGAACAAAAAAAAAACCTAAAAAAAAAAAAAAAAAAAAAGGAAAAAGCCCCCCACACCTGAACAAGATGTAAAGTGGAAAAGGTAAAAATTTGACCCCTTGGGGAGCCCCTGGGTATGCAATGCAACAAATCTGCATTAACTGGAAAATATTAACCTGTCACTATGAGACTGACACCCTCAGATCCCCCATCCCACCCGCCCTTCCCTCCCTCCTGACTTTCTACAGGTAAAGCAGAATGAAAATGCCTAGGAAAAAGAAGGCAAACATTTAAAAAAAATATTATTCGTATTACACACTAAAAAAAAAAAGTTGTCATCTCATGTCTTGCAGTCAGAATAATAAAAACAAGCCAAATGTCCCCCAAAAACATTTCAATGAAGGGGTGCGGAAAAAAGACATCCCTTTAATAAAACATTATCAACAAATATCGTACACAAACTACAATGTATAATAATTATTTTTTTTTTCCCCTCTCGGTAATTTTCGAACCAGACTACAAGGTAAGAAAAAACACTGAAACAAGATACAATGCTTTCAATAATCCGCACAAAGGTCAAATCCAAGGGAGAGAGTATTTTACAGAATATGATATACATGGAGCAGAAATGGGAGCTGGAGAAAAACCAAGACCAAACTACAGGGCAGTGTCATGTACAGAGATCCCAACCCGCCGCCTTGGCTCGTCCCTTCCTCTCCCACCAGAAGGAAGGGCCTTCGATGCTTGCCATTAATTTTTATTTTCTTATTACAGAGCGAGCCTACAGAATAGCAAGGTTACATTTTAACAACAAGAATTCCTTAAAAAATATCTCCATCCAGTTCCAAATCATAGATAAGTGAAATCCTGACAAGAGCACATCTCTAAAGAAAAGAAACCCCCCCACAAAATACCCCCAAAGCAAATAAAACCCCCAGAAAATCCCAAAGTTAGCTGGAGATCACAGTTTCAAAGTCCCAGGTCAGATTAACTTTTTTTTTTTTTGTGGATTAAAAAAGAAATTATTAAAAAAAATCTATTTTTGCAGTGAACCAGCTGAAGGATTCTGGGGAAGGGAGGGACAAGAGATTTCTTCTTGTACTCAGAGGAGGGGGAAAGACTAACACAGTGCATGCCACAGTCACAGAGAGCAAGATCACGATTCATTCGAGGATGTGATCCTAGAAGGGGTCACCTGCGTTAACAAGTTTATAACGAGGTGGTGGAGTCTCTTCCCCAAAGCAGATCTTGTTAACTGGAGGAGGAAGCGTTGTGCTGCAAACGAACAAAAAAAAAACCCAAAAAATACACAGGAAAAAAAACCCCAAAACCAAAAAAAAAAAAAGGAAAAAAAAAACCAAAAAAAAAAAAAACAGGCCTTCTGAACGAAAACCACCATTGTAAACTGTCCAGTTTATTTAAAAAAATGACTACAACAGAGACAACATGATTTCATATCTAGACTAGCTTCCTGGTGTCGCACGGCACAAACATACAACAGGTTCGGTTTCTGTCTTTATTTAAAAGAACAAAGCAAAGAGATCGGAGTTGGGTGCTAGAGGCTTCCGTTTGTTTCCAAAAAGAAGTGTCATGTACATATATAAACCCTTCTGCACAAAGAAGGGTCTTGTCATGTCTTGAAATATTTTAAGTTTTGTCCTTCATGTTTTATGGAATAAAAAGTTCAGCCTTTTTATTGCATGAAACTAAACCTGGGGTTTTGGCCCCCGCCACGTGTGTCCCTGCCCATACACCTAGCTTCTTCTTCTTCTTCTTCTTGCATAATTCGTTGAGAACCTCCGAACGGCAGCTGACTCTCTTGATCCTGGAGAGGAGGAGGGGGAGGGAAATCACACACTCATCGTCATGCTGGGGGAATACTGCAAGAGAGACAGAGCCACGGTGAGAAACCAGGCGGGTCAGAGCCCCGGACATCGAAGAGAGGGATGCAAAAGGAGGCTGATGATGACTACACAGCAACCTAATTGGATCTAATAAACCAGGAAGAGAGGAGATGCTGGAGACTCCAATTTATCAGGGCCTAATCTGCGCTGTAACTTGCTTTTCCGGGAAGAAAATCAGCAGAACAGTATGGGGCGAGATGCAATTTGAAACAAATAATTAACATGCACGTGTGTACATACTGCTAATAGAGGGAGAGCAGGAGGGATGTCTGCAGCCACCCACGGAGCTTCGAATGGGCCAGGCCAGCGCAGGCACCTCTGCACCGGCTCCTCTCCACCTCACCTGTGCACTCCATCCCACCACACACCCCAAACTTCCACCCACTCTCTTATTTCCTCCTGCCCCCTTTTCTGTCCTGCAGCAGCTCCCACACAGCACAACCCAAGTCCACAGTGTGCCAAACCCACCCACCCCAGTGCTGGGACACCTCGGGGACTGTCCCCCCATCCCCAGGCAGGCACTCACTCACATTGTCATTTTGGAAGGAATGGAGAAAGTTGCCTCCCAGCTCCCCGTCGTCTCTTGGAGTGCCCGGGGGATTGCTAATGCCACTTATGTTGTTTGGAGAATTCTGTGGGAGATGGGAGGGGAGGTGGTGAGCAGGTCCCCACAGCCCCCCAAAATGCCACGGGGGCAGGACAACGCCATGGTCACACTCCCCGTGTCCCCATCCATCAGGGCCACAGCAGCACCACAGTGCTGAGGGAAGGGGAGAGCCCACACACCCACCCTGCAACCAACCCCACTTACTTTTGGAAGTCCATCTATGTCTCCTGACCCTGCAGAGAGGGGAGAGAAAGGAGAAGAGCCTTACTGGGCCTGCAGCCATGGCCCTGTGGCTCCCACAGCCCCGCTGACTTCCACCCAAAGGCTCTGCTTGGAGCGCTGGTGTGAACTGGGGGCTGACCCCAGGATGGGAACAGGCACTGGGATGCTCTGCCAGTGTCCCCAGGGAATAAAGGACCATCAAGGCTCACCTAACGATCCGTTCATGTGATGGGGCTCCATCCCGCCCATGCCGCCCATGGGGCCGTCAGAGCCGGGGCCCATCGGGAACTGTGGAAGAAAAAGGTGACAAAACCAAAATCAGCCACAGAACAACCCCAAGAAGCTGCCACGGTGGCTCCTGAGGACTGTCCCTGCCCCAGCCATCCCTCTGGAGCAGGCAAGGAGGGAAGTATCACACCATCACTGAATTGTTGAGGTTGCAAAAGTCCTTTGAGTCAACAGTACAATTGTTGGACTTGGAAGTGTTGGACTTCCAAGTCCAACAGTCAACACAGCACCCCCCCTAAACCATACTCTGAAGTGCCAGATCCACATATTTCTTGGACAATTCCAGGCATGGTGACTCCACCACTGCCCTGGGCAGCACATTCCAATACTTGGCAACCCCTCTGATGAAAAAAAAATTCTGAATATCCAGTCTAAACATTCCCTGGCACAACCTGAGGCTGCATCACCTCCTGAGGCTGTGGTGCTCATAGTCCTCTGGGTTCACCTATAAAATTTGGCTGGAGGGCTGACCCAGAGCTCCAGCACAGCATTCCAACCAACATTCCACAGGATTTAAGGTTGCCCATATCCCACAGAACCCAGCACCTTGGCTGGAGCAGCAGGACTGCTGCTCTCTTAATAAGCATAAAAAATTAACAAAGTCGCCCAAGAGTTAATCGCTTTTTGATGGTTTGTTTTATTTCTGTTTTGTAACAAATGGCTGAAATCAATTAAACTGCTTTACTCTCAACTGATGAAGTTAATTATGATTTGTTATGGTATCTGATATGTAAATTATTAGAAAGCAGACTTACATTCGATCGACTGCCTGCGGGCGGTACTGGATTAATCATTGTGTAGATGTTGTCACTTGAATTTGTTGAATCTATGAAACAGTGAAGCCCAGTAAGTCGGGTGATTAATTCATTTCTTAATTAAAACAAACTCATGCCACTTGAACTCATTCTTTTGTATTTTATCACCCAAAATTCCCTCTAACTACCACCATTTTCTGGCTAATTTGTATTTAATGAAGATCCACAAAGTTTTTAATCACAGAAATTCAACTGTGAAAAATAATTCAACTCTTGGCTGGGAAGGGTGGGGAGGCAATTCCTCACCTTCCTGAGCGCCACACCATCCAAAACCACAGGGGGATGTAGGAACATCCCCAAATGCAATCCCAAAGTCAAGAAGCCCATCCCACTCACTTCCCAGAAAGCCAAAAACCACAAAAATTGGTCATAACCAACAGGGCAGGGATGGCCCTGGAAGAGAGAGGTCTCAGAGGGCTCATACCTGCAGGACTGGGCATGATGGGTGTCCCTGGAGGGCCACCGCCGCCGGGCGGACCCTGCAGAAACAATGTTGGCGTCAGATGTGTAAACATGAGCACTGCCCACCTTTCCATGTTTTCAAACACCTCCCCCAACTACCAACCCCCAAACCCAGCCCAGTGCCACTTCCCACCCCAAACCACATGAACTCCTGACGAAAGGACAGACAGTGGGGGCAGGAGGACTCACCACGTATGTACCAGGCGATGAAGAAGAGTATGGGATCTGTAGGGACAAGAGAGACAGGTTCAGACATGGGCTGGATCCCATCACAGCACAGCTAAAACCCCCAGTGCCCTTCAGCCTGGCCAGGATGGGAGTCCCAGCAGCCCAAGGAAGAGGTTGAGGAACTCCCTCTCATTAGCAGGGCCCAGCTAATGGGGAATGATCCCATTTGCAGGACACTTCCCAACCAACCCAAGATACTCACTGAGTTAGCACTGCTGGGGTTCGGCCACGGTCTACCGGCGCCCGGCCCCCTGGGGACAAAATTAAACAGGGGAAAACATAAGTGTTGTGTTTTTCTGCAGACAGTCCCGAGTCAGTGGTGAAACCTCCCTGGGTGGGGATTGCCTTACATGTTAATTCCAGGCATGCCAGGACCTAGGGAGTTGGGTGGAGGTCTCATGCCGCTGCCGTAGTTCTGCAACGATAACCAAGGGTCAGTCTACCGTAACGGGAAGGGACACCAAAGAGACAAGAGAAAAGAGGAAAACAAGCCAATAAACAAACAAAAAACAAGTGAGTCTGTGTGCAAAAATGAGCTTTTAAAAAAAAAATTAATGATGATGAACATAAGAGGCAATTGTGTTTAAAAAAAAACTCAGGCAGCTGAATATGGATGGGAGCCAGGCTGAGCCCCAAAGTTCCCCCTCCCAGCTCTCCGTGGAGGGAAAACATCCCCCTCCCAGCTCCACAAGGCAATTCTTTTCACAGCCCCCAGTGCCAGCAACAACCTTTTGGATTTTTCCCTTTGTGCAGGAGAAAACAGGGGCAGGAGGAGGAGAAAAAGCACCACTTGGAAGGTTCCTGCTGCAGTGTAAGGATGAGGAAAGGCTGCATGAGCTCCCCCAGAGATGGAGCACTCCTTGCTCCCTGGATGACTGCTGGAGTAGGGAATACCAAGCCAGGCTTGTTTTGCTGTTGCTCCCCATCTCTCTGCTCCATCCCCTGGAGCAGATCTGCAGCCGCGGGGAGCGAGCGAGGGCAGGCAGCCCCCTGGGCCCCCTCTCCTGCCTTATTCCTCCCTGGCTTAGCCTCCAGCTGGGACTGGGAGCCTCAGATCTGCATCCCTCATCTCCTAAAACCAGCTCTAGTACAAAGCCAAGCCCAAGGCAGTGGAGGAAGAGGAATCCCCCGAATGCTGCGCTCCATTTGGTCTGTGCTTTGCTCCGTGTGCCCTCCAGGCGACGTGCAGCCAGATTTAGGTCGCGTCGCCACTCTTCCCCTCCCACCTCCCTCTCTTCTGTAATGCATCTTTTTGGACTGTGTTTCTGCCATTTAAAGAAAAAACTGCTACAGCAGGAGAAGGGATGGCTGGCCACTTCCTACACCACAGCCCCTTGGAGTGCTCCAAACTGGATTTTAAGTACAATACTTCAGTATCGTCAATTTTTACCTGAATTTACAGTGCACCAGTGCATGGTGCACTCATGAGGGCATCACCAAAGTTTGTTTTGAAGAGGCAAAAAAGGGTTTTCCCCAAACAAATTACCAGCAAGTCCTTAATTGATAGAAATTTCAGCCATTTACACTGAATAGCAGCATCAAGCCCCTTGTTTAAAAAAAAAAAAAAAGAAAAAAAAAAAAAAAGGGCTCAGCGTTTTTAATTGGAGCTGAAAGGCTGGAAAACGGAAAACGAAGCCAGCTGAAAGATGCTCAGGGAGGGTGAGGAGGGAATGCAGCTGTGCCGAGCGACCTGGGCAAGGCACCACCAAAACCCAGAGAGCTACAAACCCTCTTCATACTGCTGCTGGCAAACCCTGTCCTGGCTTCTGCAGAGCTACAAATGGGACTCAAAGGGGAAAAGGCAGTGGCAATCAGCTGAAAGGGATGATTCATCACTGCTGTGTAATAAGGAGCTGCTGTCAGGACTCCAGGATGTCCTGGCTAGATGTTCTGAAGCCCTCTGGAATCGTTTGAGAAGTGTTTAGGAAGGTCCCAACGCAAAGCTTAAAGGAAAACAAGCCCTGGGCACACAAGGTGTGAGGGGCTGCTGGGTCTGGGTCGTTATTTTTGGTGGCTGCCTGCGCAGGCGCCGATTCCTGGACGGCTGCAGGGAGGCAGCGCCTGCGGGTGCCAGATTGGGAAGCCCAGCGCTTCTCCAGGGAAAAGCTGCCTCTTAAAAAACCTCTCCCTAATGTACATACACAGGGAATGGCGGAGTCAAAAATAAAGCTCTGAACATTTCACAACTCCTGCCGGCTCCCAGAGCCGCCGCCATCCCACGCGGCGCTCAGCGCGCGCTCGCCGCTTCCAAGTTTCGCGGCGAGCTCTGGAAGTGGGAAGCAGCCTCCCCCGGGCAAGCCGCCGCCGCTCGCCTTGGCACAGGCCACGCTTGCAAATGCCTTTGTTTTTTTTGGTTTTTTTTCTTCTTTTTGGGTGTAATCCTCCAGGAAAGGAGGATTTCAAGCACAGCAGCAGCGCTATGGGAGGGCTTGCCTGTGAAACGATGCTCGTGCAGGTTTTTTTGTCCCCTGCCCTAGGATGGATCCAGCTGCCCGTGGATGTGGCCGAGCACCACCGAGCAGCATCCTCGGGTTGGTGCTAAAGACATGACACAACTCCTTCTTTACACAACATTCACTTTTCTCAACGGTCTCCAGGGGAAAAACAAAACAAAACTCCAGCGCACCCGCTCATCTCCTGACAGACTCTGATCCTCGCGCTACAAACTCCACGTAGGCGACGATGCAGAGAGGATAAACCTCCAACCAAAATATGGTAATCTGGTTTTGAAGTCTCGTAGAAGGAACAAACAGGAGTGAGTCAACAACAAGCAACTCCATAAAGTGAATCAACAGAAAGACAGCATATATTAGCCCAGATCTGCTTAATTTCAAGTTTACTCCCCTTTCCTGAAATAGAGAATTCAAGCAGGCAGCAGGAAGGGCAGGTGGAGGGGAACCTCGCAGGGGAAAGCCTTATTCCCTTTGCTAAACGGATCTTTGCCATTTCTTTTTATTTATTAATTTCAAATGCAAGCCTCCTTTCCCTTTCCTGCAGTTAGGGTTGTAACTGTTTCCCAGGCAGGCAGTGTAATGCACTCAAAGGCTGCTCCAGCACGGAGCTAAGTGCCATCCCCTCTGACAGAAGGGCAGGAGGGAGGCTGTAATACCCTTAATGAGCTCTGAGGACCTCACTCCTGTTAAAAGGAGGGATTTCCAGATGCAAGACTAATGTAAAACACATTAACACTAATGGGGGGACAGGGCGTGGGGGGGAACTCCCAGCCCTCTGAGCCCCAGGAGGTTGTTCCCATGGTTTGTGGGATGTGCTTTGGCACTGGGCTTACCTGCGGACCGGGACCCATGGGGCCCATCCCTCGCGGAGGATTCATCCTTTGCATGGGGCCGCCCATGTTAGGGTGCCCTGTTGGGAGGAAAGCAGGGGTGTTACACAGCACCACAGTCACTCTGGGTCCCAAATTAACAGCTAATTAAGAACATCAACGCTTGACCCTCCTCTGCTGGGTTTACCTTGCTGTCGCGTGGGATCCATCGAATTGGGCAGCAATGGCTGTGTACCGGGAACAGCACCCGGGGGCTGGGAAAGCAAGGGAGCAAGATTAAGAAAGTAAATCCTGCATCCCCCTGCATCCTGCTGCATCCCACATCCCCCTGCATCCTGCTGCATGCCACATCCCACTGCTACAGCCTCCAGGTCTCTGCCTCCTTCATCCTTCTGCAAACCCTCTCTAAACCCCGAACAAGGTGATTCCCCCTCCCCCCCAGGCCAAATGCTGTTGTATTTTAGGAAAGCAGGGGAAAACATGGTCTGAGCAGGTTAACGGTGTCAAATCCAGCAGGGAAAGGTGAGGAGCAGCATGGCACCCTGGTGACACACAGCACCAGGGCCAAACCAGACAGTGATTCACTGGCTGTGCTGGGGAGATAGATGCTCCATGTGCAGCAGAGCAAGGCCCCCTCCCCAAACTCATGTTCCACTTGGGCAATGCTGCTATTTAAGCTTCAAAGGCTACTCCAAACAGATAAAGGGAAAGAAAAATGCAGATATTGTCTGCCTGAGGGAAGCAAACTGTAAACAGTTTTGCTACGCTGGATGCCAACACCGAGGAGCCCTGTGCTGGAGCACAGCACAGGGCCTGGGTGCACACAGCTGTGCCGAGGCAGAATCAGCCCAATCCCAAGTTTTTTGCAGGCTGGAAGCTGGCAGCAGGAGGAAGATAAACCAGGAGGGTTGCAGGGGTGGATATTTACACTTCTGCTGCCTGACCTTCCTGCCTGCCTATTTATTCCTCTTGTCCCTCAGGATGTGACCATAACCCCGCTGAGCTCTGCCTAGGTACAAACATGTGTTTTTTATGTGGTGTTTGAGGGGAAAAAAATGAAATCCTTCTAATTAACTTTACCCAGTCCTGGACACTTGATCCTGCTGTGGGAACAGCCTCCTCAAACCAGTTCCCCCTGCCTTTCCTGCCTGCCCAGCTCACTGTGCTCAACTGCAGCAGAGCTTGGGATGAGTCAAGAACCACCGCAGGATGGGGTCCTGTTAAAACTGACCCATGAGGAGGTGCAGTGAATTAATACCTCATTAGATCATCAGTGCCCTGGGTGTAAGGCTCTTCCAGCCATGGGAGTCCTCCATTAGCCCCTTCTGTGTTTTTCTCAGCTACATCTCAGCTATCTCAGCATCAGTTAGCAAACTCCAAAGATTCGAGTCTCAAATCCAGCAAGCACAAACCCAGAGCAAGCTCGTGCATCCTACTTCCTGACTATCCTGCTCCTTCTGCTAATTAGACCTACAGAAGAATCACGCTGACAGCCAAAAAACAAGCTCCCTAGATAATTTTTGAACAGACACTTTTGCTATTAAAAGGAATTACAGTTTTCCTTTAATTTCCCTTACAAATAACCTCTGGCTTGGCCATTACCCTATGGATCTGCATGGCATCACTGGCAAGGAGACCAAAGGCCACGCATGCGTCCAGGCAGGGCGTGGGGTGGGAGCCTCCGTCCGCAAGGCCAGAAACAAACTGCCCTTGTATAAGCTGGGATAAGAGGATAAATCCAACCCAAAAAATTCAGCAGTGACCTGCCCTGCTTGACCCCGCTGCTGATCTAAACGCTCAGTCAACCCAGCGGCAGGATTATCTCCATCACTTTAATTTTCTGCGATTGCAGGGAAAATCCAGGCAGGCAGCGAGCATGCAGCATGGCACAGCCCAGCTGGGAACACCACGGCTGGGAAGCAGCACATTCCCCACTGCTGTTTCCACCCTGGATAGGCCCAAACCTCAAAATAAAATTAAACCATGGTTGTTAAGTGACACCTGATGATCCGGCGCTAGGAAAAAGAAGGGTGGCCAAGGAGGTGATGCCTGCCTCCCAAACCCAAGGAGCATCTGCAGGACACCTGGCCCTCATCCCCCTTCCCAAATAACAGCTATCCCAAGGAAATCCAGAAGCCCGTGAGCGTGGTACCTGGTTGCCCATCCTGATGGGGGGCCGGGGACCTCCGGCGTAGCGCGGCGACATGAACGGCTGCGGGGACACAAAAAGGGGTCAGGGCTGAGCCCTGGGGAGGCAGCACACTCCCCACACACGCTGGTTAGCCTGTACACACTGCTCTTTTTATTATTTTTTTTTTCTGGAGACATCCTTTTTAAAAAAAGTTAAGTTTCAAAAGGGAAAAAAAAAAAGAGAAAGGTGTCTGGAGTCCATTTTCTAGACATTTTCTCTGTAGGTTTATTGTTTGAGAGCGTGTTTGGCATCAGCAATACTAGGTGAGGCTGTTAAAATTAGTGCATGGGAAACCCTGAGTGTTAGATAATGTTCAAGTTTAATATATAGAGATATATTATAAAAAAAAAAGTGGCAAATAAGCACATACAGACACGCACACACAAAAAACCCCAGTGCTAAGTACTGAAAAACAAAAAAAAAAAAAAGAAGAAAGGCTTAACGTTACTTCTTTTTACAACTGCTGCTACTAACAGAAGCTTAAAAATCCACATCAAGTTAAATTTTTCAGGCTATCTTGGGAAGGTAAAATAGTCTGATACCCACGATTGACTTCTCAGTCCATTGACAACTGCATATCCAAAAAACACCAAAAAAAAAAAAAGAAAAAAGAGAGAAAGAAAAAAAAAAGAAAAAAAAAAAGGGAAAATACCCAACATTTTGTTTCGGAGCTGGGGTGCCCGGGGGGATGCTCCCCGGGGAGCGGGTACCCGCTGCCCAGCATGCTTACAGAGGGGAAAAAAAGAAGTAAATCGAGCGCACGTCCCGGTTCACAGCCCTACCCATCACTAGTGTCTTTACCTGACTGTGGGGTCCCATCATGCTGTTAGGATTGTGGGGTGGAGGCTGTGCGTGTGGCGAGGGCTGTGACCCAGGCGGTCCCTGTGAGGTCAGACAGTAGAAGGAGGTTATAGATTAGCACATGAAAGCGCAGAAAGAGCTAAAAAAAGGATTCACAGGTGGACCTGTTCAGTCAGGGAGTCAGTCCTCCTGGTTTTAAATAAATTTATTTTCTTTTTTCTTTTTTTTAATTTGATTTTCTATTCATTTGTAGCTGAACAATGAGTAATGATATAAGTGAAAAAAAATATATATTCAAAATCAGAACATCTGTCAAAATACAGTGGCCACATTGAGAGTAAACGGTCCAGTGGTTCAACCAAGTCTGCAATGATAAACACACAGGGAAACACTTTGCAGGGGCGTGCAATGAGGAAAAAAAATATGCAGGAGAGGACCAGAGAGGCTGGGGGGAAATAGAAAAACTACCCCCAAACCAAAAAAAAAAAAAAGAAAAAAAAAAGAAAAAATATCTTAAAAAAAAAAAATTTAAAAAAAAGTATTTTTTTCCTCTCTCATCCCAAAGGTTGGAAACACCTCTGGGTTTGTGTTTTGACCGTGGTTCACTGGAGGTGCTGGAGCGAGCGCAGAGGACGAGGAGCACGTCCCAGCTCACGCTTGGGCAGCGTTTGGCTGGCACAACCGGGGCTGCACCGCCACGCTGAAGGGATGCAACATCCTTCCTCGAGGTGGATTCCCTAAGGATGCGAGTAAAATGGCTTGCAAGCAAAGAAAGGATGTCTAGGGGAAAAAAGGAGAGATTAGTTGGTGCAGGTTTAAGACTGCAATGCAGCAGTCGCTGACATTTTGGGCTTGAACGCCCACTTTTAAATTTTTTTTTTTTTTAAATTTCCCTTAAAAGCACAAAATGAAAATTTGCTTGGAAAAAACGCGAGCTCGGTGCAAGAAATATACCTGTGCGTGTTAACGTGAGGAAAAGGAAAAAAAAGGAAAAAAAAAAAAAAGTATTTTTTGAGTCAAAGGAGGTGTAATTGGTAGAGAAAGCACAGGAGCTCTGTCAGTAGGTGATGGGAAGCGACGGCAGGCTCCAGGCCGGCGCCGGAGCAGATGTTCTCTACCTGCCTCGTTACTAATTTCAACAAGTGTTCGCCTTCTAGCTGCTGCCAGCAATGGCATGGTTTGTTACCATGAGCAATTTTCTTAATTAACAGACATTAATTAGCCATTTAGCAATTTTGCAAGCATTTGTTTAGCAGCTTTCCTAAACATGAATACCACTGTGATAATGGTACTGATTAGAGGGTCCCCTAATTAACAGTACAGGGAAGGAAAATTGAAATCACATAAATTAAAAAGGGAGGGGAAGTTAATGAAGGCAGGACATATTTGCACCTGCAAATCTTTTGTACAGCGGAAACTTGAGTGCAATGTAAATAAAGTGAGAGGGTGGGTTTTTTCTTCTTCTTTTTTTTTTTTTTTTTTTAAATTTTTTTTTTAAATTTGAATGGTTCAGTGGCGAGATGGAGCCAAGCAGATTTAAACCAACAGCCTCTTGCCAGCTTCTCTGCTCCAGCCGCTGAAATCCCACCACTTACACCACCATTTATTTTCCAGGTGCCAAAAGGAACCAGCCCCTGCCCTTAGTTCCTGGCCAACCTCACCTGGACGAGGTCACAGCACCTCAAGACAACCCTCCCCACTGCCTTCTCCATCCATGTCCCACCAGAGAGGAGAAGACAAACCTCTGAGGTCCAACTGCAGCATCAACCTCCTTTAGCAGAAGTCCTCTCCAGGCATGGAAGTTGACTTATTTTTGCTTCTGAGTTGCTAACTCTGTCTGTGAATGCAAAGTGCAGCAGGGGCAGCAGACACCTCCCACCATCCCCCAGTAAGGTCTGGGCACCCCCAAAGCCCTTTCTACACATCTCAACTGTAAGATTTGGGCTAGGGAAGATCAGAAGAGGTGAATGGGTGATGAAACCAAGTGGAAGGTAAAAATCAGGGCTGGCAGAGGCCAAACCTCAAGCCCCATCAATGCAAGAGCCAGTGTCCTCCATGATGCCTGCCTTGTGCTGCAGGAGGGGGTCATTGCTGTCCAGGTACTGATGTCCTTCCCTCATATTCTGCAGCAGGTGAAGGTGTGAACAGGTACCAAACACACGGGGGACATGGCCATCTGAAGGCACCTTGGCTGGGCCTGAAGGTGATGCTTGGAGCCTGCATTTCCAGCTAGTGAGCAAACACTGTTTGATTATTGGAGAAAAAGCATCTATGAGACATGGCAGCACTTCCACCAGAGAAAAATCCCCTGTGGCAGCTGGACCCAGAGAGCATCCATTGTTTGTGTTGCTGAGTGCATCCTCTGGAGCGTGCTCCTGCCCTGACACCCAGGCTGCTCCCGGGATGCTCCGGGCTCGGCACCGCAGCATCCTTGCCCTCACATTATCCCATGTGGTACCGTTCCCAGAGGACACTTCTGGATAAAGTGACGCCCACCTCGTGCAAACGTTTTGGCAGGCAGGGAGGAGCTGAAAGCAGCTTTTAAAATTTTCCTGCTTTTCTTGCTTTTTCTGTGCAGCAGCATCCAAAATGTTCGCTCCAAGCTGCGCCCGCCGCGGCCCCCTCGGCACGGCTGCCCTGCTCTGTCAGAAAGCAGTCCCTCTGGATACTGTTATCTCCATAAATACTTGCAGATGTTTCAGGGCTGGGACCCGTGTTGGGCTGGGAACGCCTGCTGGAGTGGTTGGCTTTTTGCACGGGACTGCCTCGCTGCAGAGGGAGCAGCAGATGATCCCAGTGGATCACGGCAGTTCAGACAAGTGCTTTGCAGAGACGACATGTGGGTTCCAACCAACAGAACATCCCTCTTTTCTTAAAAAAATGTGTGTTTAGCAGTTATTAGCTACTCCTGTTAAAGGAGGAGGCTGAACACATGCTGTCCTGCTCCCTCCACATCCCTCCATCCAGCCCTGGAGTCACATCCCTGCAGCACAGCTCCTTGACACGCCATGCCGGGTGAGCAGGACCTGCTCTGCAGTTGCTTCACTCTCATCTCCAGACCAGCACTCTCCCCAGCCACAGAAACCCCTTCATCTCTCAAGTTTTTCCTTTTTCCCCTCAAACTGGACACTCTTTGTGTGGGGTTATTCTTCATCTTCCTGTAGCTGCCTCAAAAAACTCCAAAAAAGAACCCCAACAGCTAAAATGGTGTTAGAGGAAATGGTTTCCAACAGCTGTCGGTGCCCCAGCCTCCCCTGCTTCATTTCTTTCTCCCCTCTGCACTCCAGGGACTTTAAAAGCCCAACCTGGCCCACTGGACAGACAAAGTTTGCTGCCACAGCTGCTTCCTACAGGGACTTTCCAGGAGATCAGGTTATTTCCACTCTGTCTTTCATGAGCTCGACTCCTCAAACTTCTTGTAAAATATTAAAGATGGAAAATGGCACGAGCGATCATAGCTCTGTGTGTGTCAATTTATGTTTCCAGCGTAATTCACCACAAATGGATCATGTTTTATGGGCTACATACTTTCAGCTAATGGGGGAGTTTTGCTATTTAAAAACATTTTCAAGCACCTCTGGGGGTGGCAGAACAAGGCAGGATGGTACGAGAAGGCAAAGCATCACTGCCACGAGACACCGATGGTTTCGAGTTAGCAATAGGGAGGCATCTTGTGTTTAAAATACTTGCCCCTGCCTGCCAGTTTTGACGTTAGAAAATACTAAAATAAATTAGATGGATATTAATTAAAGCCATGCCTGGGTTTATTGGAGAGGAGATTTATTTCTACTGAAGGAGAGAGATGTTTTGCAAGTCGACAAGGAAAAAAAGAGCTATCTCTGAATGAGCCTTTAGGAGAGATGCTCCAGTTGCCTTCAAAGAGAAAGACCCCAGTTGACTTCCAGCATGTGGTGCTGGGTGAGGACCTTCCCAAGACAGGGCAAAGGGAGCCCAGGAGAGGTTAGACAAGGCAAAGCAAGGCAAAGCAAGGCAAGGCAAAGCAAGGCGAGGTTAGGCAAGGCAAGGCAAGGCAGCGAGGCGAGGCGAGGCGAGGCGAGGTGGGCCAAGCTCCCCCCGCAGACAGCGAAAGGCAGTCGTGGGCAGGAGCTCTGCCTCGCCTGCAGCTGGGGCTCCCAACTGCAGAAGCCTGGTTTTAAGGAATATGTTTAACACAAGCTCTTCAGGAAACAAACCCGTGTCAGCCAGAGCCAAGAACAGTCACCTCCATCTGGCTGGAGCACCCGAGAGAAAGTTGACTGCAAATCCCACCATATGCTCCAGACGCTCGGTACAAAAGCCTCGGGCATCCTACTAAACTTCCAGAAAAAAACTTTCTCTGATGCTTGCTTTTCCTTTCCTCCAGCTTGTAGGCTACCTTCCTTCAAACCCTGCCTGTTGCAGGCTGATACCAAGTTCTACCCCGTGATTTTGGGAAGAGCAGCCTGGTTTTATGGCTCTCGTGCTGCCTCACCAGAACTGGCTGGCCAGAGCTGGTGGCACCCACCGAGCAGTGGAAATCCCAGTGAGACATCAGGACAGCAGGGGGAAAATGGTGGCATCCAAGGAGGGAGCAGGACAACATGGACCCCTTCCTATTGTCCCTGGCTTCACCATCCTCACCCCACGGGCGACCTCACCCAAAGGAGGAGGTCTCCAGGACGCGGGGAGGAGAGGCGGGGATGGCAGGGGATGTGGGGGGGAGCCCCCCAGGCTCTGGAGCCCCCATCCTCCCCAGCTCTCGAGGTCTGTCTGCATTAGGGGGCAGTGTGGGAACACGGAGCAGGCGGTGCTTTGTTTTGGTGCATCTCGGCGCCGAGCCGCTGATGCATAGCTAACGCAGCGCCGACATTGATTTATGGTCAACTTTCCATTTCATCAGCGCGGGGTACGGGGCGGCGCGGGGACTCTGCGCTGGGGACAGCAGGCGTGCCTGGGGGGCTGCTGACTCGGCCCCCCGTTTGTTTAGTGGCATAAAGGTGTGGTATTAGTTCCTTTCAATTTTTGTTTTCCTTCCTGTATTTCCCTGGCATCCCCCCATCCCTCTTGTGAGGGATCTGCACCCCGGCATCAATCCAGTGTTCAAAACAAAAGCAGGAACGCCTCTGATGACCTTTAGGAGGATGAGCAGAGGGTTTGTTTGCTCATCTCAACGGGACAAAGAGAGAGATTTAAATAAAAGCATCTACCCATGCTGGCCGTCAACCCAGCCAACCTTTTGTCCGGAGCACAGCCGATACTGTGCCACTGGCTGGCACCATGAAATGCCCCAGCAACTCAAGAGTGCCAGGGGCCTCTGCTTCCCCATCATTTTGGGAAATTCTGCAGGCTGCACTTCCCTTGGCCCCTGACCTGAAGGGCACTGCAGCCTGGAGTCCTCCTTGCTTCTCCCTTTCCTGGAGCACTCCTTCTCCTCCAAGCTCCCTCACATGTGTTTGGGCTACAGAATCCCAGAAATGGTCCATATAGTTTTTTCCCTATGCCTGAGATGAACATCCTCACATGCATGGCTGGGGGGGTTCATGCACCCCCAGGGTGGCAGTGCAGAGTTTCTGCTTCCTGAGCTTTGCTGGTGACTCATTCCTCAGCTCCCTGTGTGACTCCCCACCATGCCTGGACATGATCAGGCTCTATAAGTCCTCTCAAAAACTATCTGCCCATGCCTGCTACCCTTGGGGTATCCCTTGCAGGTCCCTGGTGCAGAAGAACAAGATGCTGAAAACCCCTGAGCCCTCTCCTGGCATGAGGATGGCACTGGCTGAGGCGGCACCATCTCGCTCACTCCCAGGGCTGGCATACACCAAGGGTTGGGGAGAAGTCCTTTCTATCTTCTGTGACCTTTTTGTTTTTGCCCTCTGAATTTAGGCATTTTAATCTCCTACAGACAGGAAATTACCCCCAAGCTGTGACTGGCTCAACACTGAGCCTCCAGCCCATCTCTGCCAGAGCTGGTCTCCAGCATCTCCTGAAGCTGGAATGAGCTCCAGCACCCACAATAAATCAGACAAGCTTTCATGGAAGCGATGTTCAGACTGTGTTAAAAGGTGGGATTTTTCTTCTGCTTTCCATCCCGAGGGCTGGGAGAAGAAACCAGATGTTGGAGGGCTTTCAGGAAAGGCAGGCTCTTGAGATGTCACATGTGAGCCATATGCACCAGCACCCATCCTCTCTTCCCTCTGGCAGTGCTGGGGACGGGCAGCATAACCTGTCCTGGTGCTATTACAATTGTCTGGGATTTCAGGATCCACTCCTGCCTCTGAGCCACCCCATTCCCCAGTGGCTCCTGGGCCAGCTGCATGGGAGGCAGGGAGCTAAGATGGATTGTTTGCTCCTGAATCAGACCTTCAGTGCAAAAGTGCTACAGGAGGGCAGAAAGGAAAAAAAGGGGGGACAGCTTGGAGGCTGTCAACGGGAAGAGTCGAGACGGCAACATGAACAGTAAAAGTCTGGAGAGATGTGACTCCTCTTCCTCACCTTTCCCACTCTGGGAAAGCCAAGCCATCCTCTCAATGCCTTGCCCTAAATTCATGCCAATTTTGCAGCCCTCGCAGCTCGGCGTGAAGCAGAAGCCCCGAAGGACAGTCAGCTTCACTGAGGGGCGAGATCAGGACGTTTTGGAGACACATTTGTTGGAAGCAGCAGCTTGGCACTCGGATTGCTGGCAGCAGCTATGACCTGCGAGATTGCATCTCCGCCGTTGGCTTCACCCCCTGCTGCCGAGCGCCGCTACAAGATTCGCCTGTTTTAGGGTTCCCGATCAATATCGGATATTTTTACTTTGTCAGAAGCATGTTCAGGAAATGGGATCTCTCCTTCTCTCTCAAAAAAAAGGACGGGACCCTCCTTCCCCCTTCCCACACAAATGCAATCGGCGATACCGGGCTCAGATATCGCCACAATAAATCACAAGCTCCTTATCGAGCTCGCCTGTCTACTGCCCGAGAAGTTCTCCCATATACAAATCAAAAGCCCAGATTAAAAAAAGCCCAGCTTGCCAAAACAAATACTCCTTTCGACTCTTATCCCATTTTTTACACGAACAAGTGTTTCATCCTCGAGCAGGAGGATTTTAAAGCACCAAAAGCTTATGTTGTTGCAAACCAGTGCAGCTCAACCCGGGCAAAGAGATTCCTGAGAAAAACCCCCAAGGTTCAAGGTCTGAAAACTCCTTTTCTTTGTGCTTGTTGATATCCTTCCTGTCAGCATCACTCCAAACATGTTACCCCCTCCTCTGTCAGAGCTTGTTGTGGGATAAGGAAGGAGCGAGGGGACTTTGGGGACTTTGCTGGGTATTTGCTTACAAGGTGCCTCCACGGCATTCAGGGATTTGGCTGGAGCCCACTCCCGCCTGCAGCCGCAGCCAGGGTTTGTTAATGCATTCAGTGATTGCATTTGGAAAAAATCAAGTGGTTAACCAGAGGAGGGGGAAAAAGTTTCAGGAATCAAAATCCAGAATGTTTTCAATTACACACGTCTGTTAGGACTGGAGAACAAATACAATCCCAACCCAAACACAAACCAAGCAGCTTGGAAAAAAAACACTGGTTGTAAATACGCAGTAACCTCTTCGAGCAAGAAAGGAATTTGCTTTAAGGCCACAAAAGATAGAAAGCAAACGTGGAAGGACAGCAGAACACGAGTTATTCCTAGACAGGTCAGCTGTGCAGGCATGCTGCTTCCCTAGCATCCTCTTGGGAAAAAAACAAAAACAAAAAACCAAAAAAAACCAAAACACAGGCACGACAGCGCTGACACCCAGAGCGAAAGCAAACACGTGCGGGTGTGGAGGGACACCGGGAGGAGCCGCAGCCTACCTGGAAGAACCCGGGCGGGATGGGGCCCCCGGGCATCCCGTCATTCGGGGGAATGTTTCCAAGCACGGGACTCGGGGCAGCAGCTGCGCTCTGTGGGGAACAAAACCAGGGCAAACATGGTCAGAGTTATGACAAAAGCACATTAAAAATGCCACCTCTCCTGCCACATCCCACTGAGCCAATCAGCCTAGAATCCCCCTGAGCATCTTCCCTGGTGCAGGAACCAGTGCAGGATGCTCACAGCTGGAGGGACACCGGCCTCTGTGACTCACCCACGGAGGAGATGGCCACACAGAACCTGGAGTTGATTCTGGGGTTTGTTTATTCATTTACCCAGGCACTGAGTCTTGTTAATCCACCAAGGAGCCACATCCAACGTGTAATTTTAGGCAGAAGCTGTTCGAAAGCTTTAAAATGCTTCTCTCCCACCTCGCCACCAGGCTCACTGGTTTAGCCCTGTCCTTTGAAAATTATGCTTCCCTGACCTCACCAACATGCCACGGTTTTATTATTAATTTCCAAATTCACTGCATTCAACCTGTGGAGTCACATTCCCCCTTGTGCCTCCCTAGAATGAGCCACCAGCTCAGCTCCAGGCCCAAAAAGAGAAATGGGGACAGACATGGGGTACCTGGACACCCCACTCACTCCTGTCAACATCCCTATTTGCATTTATTCACTTGTGGGAAAGCACCAGTTTGATGGGAAGCTCCTACTCTGAAGGAAAATACAAGAAAAAGATCTTTCTCTAAAAGCCACTGCTGGTGACACCTCCCTGTGAGATTAGGAGCAGTACCTGTATGCCATCCAAGTGCACCCCAGCTTGCCCAACACCAAGTGAGCCCATTCCAGTTATAGGGCAGTTATAAAGGCACCTCAGTGGTGTTAATTGGATTTGGATTGCTGAACTACTCCCTCCACCAATTTTTATGATGGACGTACCCACCTAAAACCATAGTGGAAAAAATTTCCACAGAGGAAATCCCATGAACAGATGGGGTACATGTGAGCCTGCTCAGGCTTGGTTTCACCCAACAAACCCCACGTCCCAACAGCAGCCGAGCCAGCCCCGGCTCCCGACCGCATCCGATGCAGCAACAACCACAAGATGTGAGCAGAGGGGGAAGCCAGGCTGTCAGGGCAGCCTGGAAAATTAAGGATTATTACTAAGAACTAAGGATTGCCAAGATAGGATCCCCATGTTTGGTCGGCAATTCTGCTATTCCTGACCAGAAAGCCTTGCAGAGGCAGGGGAGCACCAGACTAATCATTGCCTTGTGCCTTCCCAGGGCATCCCTCGTGCCCCTCACCATGCTCACCAGCAGGAGCTGGTGTGCAGGATGTGGGATGAAGGCCAAGACTATGCCAAATGAGTGGGTGGTTTTCCCACCCCAGCATCTCAGAGCTGCAAGTGTCACAGACAGCAGTGGAGGCTGATTCCTCAGTAAGAGCCTCCCTTCATGAAATAACCAATTCCCCCTGAGGCTACTGGGTCCTGCACCCCCACACCACATTCCCTCCCATGCCCCTGAACAAGGCATCCTGAACAGCCTTCCCCCCACCAGCAGCAAAGGCCAGATCTGAGTGTTTTTACAGTTAATAAAAAAAAAAGTCCTGGCAGGAAAAATAAGCCTGCCCATTCCAGGCTCTTTTTATACATCAGACGGCAGCAAAAATAGATGGGAGAGGGAGTGAACCCACTTCTCCCCCTCCTCCATCCCCCCAAGTGGGTCAGCTATAAAAGTAAAACCAAATCTTAATCCAAGGCCATGAACATATTGCAGTTTCTCTGCAAAGCAGATGACGGTTCTTAATGCAAAAATATATAAGACTGAGCCCCAAACTGCAGCGAGCCCATTTGGAATTTCCTTTATTAAACCCTCTATCACGCAAAACGCTTCTCTCCCAAGGCGGCAAGCGCTGCAATAAAGCTGCCAAGGTGATATTTTATGGTTTCAAGAGATTTCCAGCACACTATAATCCTTTGCTTGGGGAATCTCCCAAAGCGAAATGGATCCCAAAGTGGTGGGGAGTGAGGAGGAACACGGATTTGAGGATCTGGGGGGAAAGGACGCTGCTCTTCTCTTCCCTTCTGCAACGGGGAGCAGAGGGAGAAGAGCAGAGGAGCCAAAGAAAATCTTGAAGCAAATGCCCATTTTTCCACAAAACCACAGAGTATTTTTCCGTGTTAAACACCCTGAAACCTCACCTATGCCTTCGCAGCATAAACGGGGATTTAAAGTTCCTCGCACATGTGGCGCTTGGCAGAACTTGGTAATTAAAAACCCGCAAGTACCCTGAGCATATTGTAGGATGAGAGCCAAATTGGTCAGCCCTTGATGAATGATTTACAAGGCTGCGAAGTGACATTTTATTTCTTTTTTTATTCCCCTCCCCATCACCGCTGCTAAGGTAAACACTGAGGCACCTTTAGCCCTGGTGAAGCAATGGGAGCACAGCTGTGGCTAAAGCAGCTCTGTAAAACACTTGGGCATGCCAGAAATGAAAGAAAAAAGGCAAGAACAGACAACAGGAACAACTTTTGCAAACCTTAAGGGTGAGCACCCAAACCCCAAGGGTCAACGCACAAACCCAGCACCCATTTCCAGGGCTTTTTTGGCCACACAGCTCCTCCCATATGATTTATTTTCAACATTTTGTCCCAGAAACTCTTTTTAGGGACTCTTGGTTGCAGTTTGCTTTCCAAAGCTCGTTTCTGAGGTGAACATCTAAAACCCATCAAACCTCCCTGGTGAAGGTACAATGTGCAGTTGCCATGGAAGCTGGCAGAAAATAGGCATGGAACTGCTGTGCCACCACATCCAAGCTGGAGCTGAACCAGAAGCATATCAGCCACATCAAGGTCCCCATTGGCATGTGACACCCCGAATTTCCTTCCACTGAAACACATGGAAACCACTGCCAGAAACAAGCCAGGACAGCTCTGGCAATGCTGGCATGCCAGCTCATTTGCCTTTTGTAAGATGGCAAATTTTCCCCACGTTGGAAATCAATATATATGTGTTCCTGGGGCGCACATGTATAGCTATATACACAAACACACATATGTATTTTTAATTCCCTGCCACATACGTTGGTATTTTTCCTCTTTTTTTTGGTGGAAGCCAGTGGAATGATGACAATCTGCATCACCGTGTTTCGCTTCCAAACCGAAGCTCTCAGTTAACACACCGGCCTGGTATGCCAGCAGATGCCGTCTAAGCCTTTAAATCGCACACTAATTGCACTAATTGAGCTAACAGTCTCTGTTTCGTCTCCCTACCCTGAGTCAACCAGCATCTTCTGGTACTGCTGTAGAGATCCAAGCTGTTGACTGTAGTGTTATTTTGTCAGCCATTAAACGATTCATCAGAGTCATTAATTGATTTATTACCGCTGCCTGCGAGTATAGCTTTGCAAATAAAGAAGGATGGAGGTCAGGAGGCAATGGAAATCGGACAAAACAGCACAGCCAGGAGCTGGGCACTTGAATTATCAATAGGAGCCCACTTGCGCAGGACCACTGGCATCAGGTTGTGGAAGGGAAAAAAGGAAAAAAGGAAAAGATGTGCTGTCTGGCTGTGCTACAAAGCTGGTTAGGGTCTTCAGCTACAATCTATGCAGGATGTAAAAGGGCTATTAAAACCATCTTGTTTTCTTAACCTAATCCTCCAGGAGAAACCAGGTTATTCTGCTGTATTAACTGTGCTGAAGAGCAGCAGGGAAGAAGCACTGGCGTGGCTGCCCCACACCGCTCCCCAGCACCTCGGTGTCACCCAGATTTGCTTTCCCAGGCCAGCTGAGCCGGGAACATAGCTCACCTCTGCTGTCCCACAGCCCTGGGAGGAGCTGCGGTCCAGTGCTTTTATTTATTTACTTTCTTTACTGCAGGGTTTAGGTCTTTGCTGGGCGTGAGGGTTTGCTGCTGTGAGCAGGGTGCGGCGAGCCGTTTCCTGCCCCCCGCCCTGCTGCACGCTCGGCCCCGAGCGGCCGTGAGGCACCGCCGAGGCCCCGCCAGGGTTTTGGGGGCTGAATTTAGAAACCAGAGCAGGTGGGCTGAAATTACCGTCACTGCCACAATGTGCCTGCTCCCAGCTCCCAGCCTAATAAAAGGCAGCACCCTATGAGAGAGAGCTTGGGAAGTCAAGGAGCTTTCTGCATGTGTTGTCCACACACGGAGCTCCTGCAAGGGATTCTTCCTCCTCATCCCCATTTGTGGACCTTGAAGAGCAGCCTGAAGGTGGGCTAAGGCACTGCACCCCTTCCTGCAAGGCTCTCAGTGTCATAATGGTGGCAGGGCACTGGCCAAGCTCACCACCCACCCAAACCTGCCATGTTTCACCAACACCAGCAGTGGTTCCGACGAACCATCTATGAAAAACAGGTTCCAAATGGTGGTAGTAACTCTGCCATTAAATGCAAGCTGGTGTCCCCACCGCACACTCCAGGTGAGCAGCTCGCCCCAGCATCTCATGCTGGCTTCCACCAAACATTTTTAATTAAAATAACATGGCAAGAGTGGTAGGAAGCAGAGAGGATGCTCCGCTCATGGGAAGCACCACCAGCACTAGCTGCTTGATCAGGCACAGCCCCCATCAACAGAGCAAAAGTATCTTCATGGCACAGACCTAAAACCAAACTAAGGATGGCTGAGTATTTCCTTTCTGAGCTGGTTTTGCCCTCTCTCCTCTTCAGAACACTGGACCAGAGGATTTTGGCTGATCTCACACCTGTGAGAGATCTGTGGGAGCAGCACAAGACTTGAGGGCAGCTGCCTCTGGTAGGAGCATGCGGGGGTGCCCAGGACATGCTGGTGATCTGGTATCTATCTGCCTCCTTTGATTTTACTTTTTTGCCTAGAGCACAGGCTTTGGAGCCTAAAGAAGAAACCAGCGTGCGGGTCAGGACTCAAGCAGGCTGCGTAAACAGGTAATACGGAATTTAATTGGACTCCAGTTAAGCCTTTTCATCTCGTTAAAGCTGCCTTCATCTTATATAGCCAGGTTTTAAATTTAATAATAGAACCCTCCCACACCTCACAGTAACCCGATTAACGCCAGGGAAGATGACACGCCGATCCCTTCCTCTGG